GTCTTTATCAAAGCTTATGTATACTGTGGAAGAAGAGACTAATGCAGATGAAGAAAGAGCTGAAAAAGTGAATCATGTCCAGATGCTGCGTCCATCAAAATGGTGGCATTGGTTGAAGACAACAAAAGCAGGACAGGAGCAAATGCGCAGTCTTATATGGCAGTTGGTATGTCATGTCTTTAATTTTCATGGAACTGCTTTGATACTCAGTAATTACTGATTTACATATTGCTATCATATATCATTGGGAGGTTTACTATAAAAAGAATCAGTGAATAGTTAATCTTAATCAGAAGATGGCCTTTTCATTCAAAGATTCTGGCGTCTCTGTTTTTAAAACTTTGTCAAGTTTGCTAGTGAGAATACAACTATGTGCCGAGGGACTATCCCTAGGCAGTTTTTCTAGTCATAACCTAGATCGGTGAACTTTCTTTCTTATAATTGGTATTAAAATTGAATTTGTTTCAAAAAACATGGTGGCATAGTTTTCATAAGTTTCTTTCAGCCTTTTTTGGTACCATAGTTGTTCATTTTCTTGCTCTTGTGTTTTTAGACCAATGCACTCATTTAGATACTTGATCTTCTTCAATTTTTCCAGTTGATGGCATTGAAGTCCTGTCATGACCGTAATATTACCCATAGAGATATCAAACCTGGTGAGTACATCGTTGTTTTCTAATATTACACCTTAGGAATATATTGTAAAAAATAATTTGTTCATACGTATCATAGTTTTGAAAAGGAAACCAATTGGCTAGCAGTCATACTTTTTTCTTTCTGATTTTTGTTGTTGACCAATAAAAATAATATATTAAATATTTTTAGCATGTAGTCAAGCAAATTTAGCATGTAGTCAAGCAAAATCTACAAAGATTTTGAATCTGAGTTCTTCTTTCAGGTCGTTCAGGATCCATTGGTGTTCTCTTTATGTCAATGAAATTTGTTCAAATATTTGTATACCTCGTCCAGCTTTAGAAGCTAGATCTTTTGCATCATGCTTATTTTAAATGCTTTAATATTTTGTAGAAAATATGGTGTTATGCTTTGAAGAGGAAGACACAGGGAGATGTCTGAAAGGAATTCCAAATGGCGAAAACTTCACCACCAAAATGTAGAGTTCACCTTACAATTCTAGTATATAACCTGATATATGATATTAGTCATGCTTTAAATTAGATTGTATTATTAATCTGATGCCTTTTGGGTAAATCATTTAGGCGCATTATTGACTTCGGTAGTGCAATGGATGAGTTCACTCTAAAGCATTTATATGGGTCTACTGGACCATCCAGGTATATCTTTTACTGTGGGCATTTCCGGTTATCTATCTATTTATAAAAAATCGTGACAAGTCTATGATTGATTTTTGTGTATCTCCAGAGTTGAACAGACTAATGAATATACTCCCCCTGAAGCCTTACTTCATTCTAATTGGTACCTGAGGCCCACCAACACAACATTAAAGTAAGTTGGTATATTAGATTAAGTTTAGCTCTTGATCCATTTCCGTGAAGAAAAATGATCATATGTGCTAACTGTAAATGTGTATCTTACCACGTCTGTTGGACTAAAATTTTCAGATTTACTTGATTTTTTTGACAGGTACGATATGTGGAGTGTTGGTGTTGTGATGTTAGAGTTGATCTTAGGATCACCAAATGTTTTCCAGATTAGTAGTCACACACGTATTCTTTTAGACCGGCATATAAAGGGATGGAATGGAGGCTTAAAGGAGCTTGCATACAAGTTAGTTTAAGACACTAATATATTACGTGTATATTCAACTAATCAAGGGAAATAAACTTTTGGATTGGCTCTCTTTGATAGAGTTGTTTCTGTTACAACTGTCCACGACATGCTTTGGTTATGCTTTTATTTTGTTACACTGAAAACTTTGATGAGATGATACTCACTGATCTATGTACAGGGCTGTTTATTGTTTCATGTATTCGTTGTTATTGAACTCGAGCTCCATTTCTTCTGCAGTATACTGTTGGATTATAAACAATGTAGTTCATATATATATATATATATATATGAAAAAGGTTTGGATATACTGACTCAGTTATCAAAAGTAACTTTCCATTTTAATAGGGGAAAGCATGTATCATCTATCTGCAGGTTTTCTTAACCATGCACCATTATCTGTAGAATGATGTTTGGTCTATGGTGTATACATGTATACGTGCATATAAATAGAGAGAGTAATTCTCTCGTACTAGACAGTTGTCACACCCATAATAAAGTGAGTAAGTAGCTACCAGCTTTTTGTCAAGCCCTAGCAGTTATTGGAGGGATTCATTGTAAAAGGATGATGTTATTTTAGATTTTTATGGAGTTCCTATTTTGTTCATTATGATGTGGAAGCATGGTAGCAGGAATATGATATAAATATGATGAAGTGATACTCAGGCCTAAACGTTGATCACTATGTTCTGCAACATAATATGATCCCCTTCATGCAAGGAGTACTTGTTTTTAGAATTTGATGCATGCAAGTAGTATGAGTATTATGCATCCAATCTTTTTCCATTTTCTAAGTTTATGTTTTAATTTTTTATTTACATATGCATTTTCTGGTTGACAGACTTAGATCATTCATGGAGTTGTGCATTTTAATCCCTGGGAGTTTCTTACGACATCACCGAACAACGAGCCAGGTAAGTTTACCACGTTACTGCTAAATAGTTCTGTGAATGTGTCACTATGACATCATACTCTCATTCTTAGTCAGTTTTCTTTTTCCCCTCATCCTAGAGGACAGTGTGGTGATAAATGTAGTGTGGAAATGATTTTCTTGGATAATATGAGGATGGTTTTTTTCTTCTCTTTTTCTTTTTAAACTCTTTATCCATTGCATGTTAGCTTGTGCAGATATTCTGGTTCCAATGTTAAGCTAATGTGTTTTCGCTTTTGAGACTAGGCTGGAGCATCACCGGCTTCTTGGAAATGCTCAGAAGAGTTTTTCTCCCATCAGATAAAAAGTAGAGATCCGCTTAAGTTAGGGTTAGTAACTGTTTGTATCAGTTGTGTCTTATTAAACATGATTTATGTTGTACTTATTGATGCTGCAATAACATGCCATATACTTCTTGGAAACTGCAGCTTTCCAAATGTTTGGGCTTTGCGGTTGGTACGCCAGCTATTACTCTGGGATCCTGTAAGTTCTAATTCTTAGTTTTTTTTGTTCTCTAGTGAGAGGAGTTTCTAAGAATCGTTGGTTAGTGGTATCACATTAGGGAATCACAAGTTTCTGGGTTAGGAGAACTCGTTAAGTTTCGTTTCTTCTACTATGTGGTTATCTGGCAAACTACGGAATCTCTTGTATAAAGTGACAGTTGAAACATTTGAACTACAGGAGGAGCGGTTGAGTGTTGATGATGCTTTGCAACATCCATATTTCCAGCCTCCTCCCAGGGAATGAGTTCATTGGAACGTTTTACCTACTGATTTTCCTTCTAGAGGTACTGACCACCGACCAAACTTATAATGGCTTTACATACAGCTCATATTTTTCAATTAAAATGCAGAATGCAGGTTTATATTTCTTTCTTTTATTTACTTCAGACCTTAACTTCCTCGGCATTAACAAACTCAACTGAGATAGTACCACCATTTTGATGGATGCAACATCTGCACATGCTTCAGCTAATCAACTCTTTCTTCATCGACATTAGTATCTTGTTCCGAAGTCTACGTAATGCTGTCACGATGAAATATACAAACTAGAAATTTTGAAAGATTGTACATATGTAGCAAGATTGTTCAAGTGAATCTGTGCCTCACTTGCAGCTGAAATTTTGTTACCAACGGTTGATCTTAAAGATCATTTAGATGTACAGGTTCTGTCATGATTTCATGACTGATTATGTGTATATATATACGTCAAGTTACAACAAAGATCAAGTATTCAAAGGAATTGTCATATTTGCCCGTGTCCATTGCTTCCATGTTGGTTTCTATATGCGCCGTACAAGTTCTTCTTTCCTAAAGAAAAAAGCTCAAATACAATGCGTTTCCGATTGATGCAATAACTTGCTTGCCTGTAGCTTTTCTGGGCGTAGCGCATTTTCCATCCGTTTATAGGAAGAGAAGGTCCTAAAAAATCTGCACAAATTTCTTCTCTAGATTATTACATTACACTTCTTTAAAGCATTGGAAAAATCAGTGTTCGAAAAATCGGCCTGGGCAGGTCTGACCCAGAAAAAAACGCCATTTTGGAATCTCCAAGGTCAGGGACGAGATGACGATGGTGCTATGAGCTAGAGAGAGAGAGAGAGAGAGAGAGAAGAGGATTGAAGAAGAGAGAACGCGGGTTTTGTCTGAGCAAGAGAGAGGGGCTGGACAACTGCTCGTGTTAGACTTATATGTTCACAGAAAAAAACAACAGGAGAGATGGGCTTTCAATTGGGCCTGGACTTAAAACACTAATAAAACCAAATGCCCTATTTAGATATATTATGGTATCAATTATGGTACTTTATAATATATATATCCTTTTATTTTGCATAATTTTGGTATAAATTTTATAATTTATAATACTAAATAATTTTTTATTATAAAAGAAATGCCTAAGCACCCGTCTATGCCCCGATTACTCCTCTAGGCCCTAGACCTCTGCCTGCCGACCATCTACCACCTAACGATTTTTGGAACATTGGGAAAAATATAACAAAAATTCAAGAAACAAAGGATTTTCTTCCGTGGGATTGTAAGCATGTTGCCCCGAATATTTTATATTTCCCCCGAGCGCCAACTGGAAGGGGAAGCCAGTGAGTTGGTGATGGCAGTTGGCTTTGAAAAAACATAAAGAAAGAGAAAACATGGGTAACTTGCAATTGATATATTATATTGCCAAAATCATAAATTACAAAAATTTGACCTGTTAAAAAAGAAAAGAGATATGGCATGGAGGTTGCACAACACTTGCTAGTATACACGGAGGGTGGTTGACACAACTTTTAACTAACATTTCATCTTTTAAGTTTCCACTTCTATGTTCATGGTTCATGGCTGTTTACACGGCTATGAAGCTCCAGCATCTCTTGATGGTTTGGGTCGACAGACAGAGCAGCTCGACAGTCTCGCAAAGCACCCATGACATCCCCGGTGTGCTCATGGAATGCAGCCCGCAAGTGCAGAAGGTGGAGGTCAGCCTTGAATGCAATTGCTCTTGATAGTTCTGCAATGGCCTCTTGTTCTTTGTGGCTATCCATCAACACTGTTCCATCGAACAAAACAAAATTCCACTTCAATACCGAACTTTAACAAGTAGGAGTTACTGTCAGACAATATCAAGTCTCGCTTTTAACCAGAAACTTCTAAGAAGAGACTCCAGCAATGATTATCAACATCATGTAATTGTTTTAGATATCTTATGCCACTAACATTAGGTAGTATTACAATTATACAGGTACGAGGGTTGAGGAATAAAAATCAAACCTGCAGCTCTATATCTGTAAGGATACACCCGAAGTGGATCTAAGCGGGTGACCATCTCTAGATCAGTTTTTGTGAGTTCACGATCACAGTATTCAGACCTCTTTTCATAGGCAGATGCATTATTCCGTGCCTTCTCAATCAGTTTGGTCATTTCGTCATATGCAGCAGCCTTATCGTTTCTGAGAAAGTGAACCCGAGCAAGCCCCTGGTGGGCTCGGGTATGCCTGATCTTCAGAGCATTTATGTAGCAATCAGCTGCCAAGTCTAACTTTGCACAGTCAACGTAAACACTTCCAAGGTTGTTCAGTGCCTGGTAAATGAAAAATTGAAGGAAACATAGAAAGGTTAGAATATGCTGAAACTAGAAGTCCATGACCACAGCTTCTTTAACAAGTTTAGAGAGCTCCAAAAAAACTCTGGTTGCACAGTTGATCCAATTTGTCATATTGGAGCTATTACCTCTAGATGGCCCTAAGCCATTAGTATCCTCAATCTTGTAGACTTTCCCAAGGAGGGAACAAGTTTCATGCTCCTTGCCTTTTAGGCCTTTCTTGGAAATGATTGATATAAGCCATCCTAATAATCTCTAAAGACTACAGACTTTTGCACCATAGTCCAGCGGAATGTGAAATACACTTTTGCTGGACAACCGGTAGAAATTAGAATAAGGAAGATTTTCACCATTTGGTTACAATATACATACCTGACCTTTCCGCAGCCTGTCCGAGGGGCACTTCAAGGCATCTTCAAGGAGAGATACAACAGTTGATGAACAAGACGGATCTTGGCTAGAGTCTGCCAGTGCATAGGCTTTCAAAAAGAAGGCCTCAAAGGATCTTTTAATTTCGATAGATTCCTCTGCTTTGCGGAGCCCTTCCTCACAATGACCTGTATCGTACAAGATCCACCCCTCATAAACCAACTTTTCATGCTCGCTGGATGCATGTTGACGAGCTAATTGTAAACTTCGCATTGCTGCTTCAGGACAGTTCAACCTGATCAAGTTGAAACATGAGATTTCTACTGAAATTTTCATTAACAAGATAGAATGTCACCAAAAGTATCATATGGAAGAGAGCAGGGAACCAAAGGCAGAATTTGGGAAACAGAAAGTTTTCTCATTGGAAAATTTTAATCTTAAGATTTGGGAAATCATCAACTTTGCATGGGCACATTTTTTGGGTTAAACATGGATAAACACAAGTTACATGATAACAAAAAACTTGAGCCTCTTTAAATAAAAGGAACTATATCACAATCCACAAAAATTTGGGGGTCCAGAACATACCTGAGAAGAAGCAATGACTGCCTGAAATACAGAACACCTTTTGCTGCATCAGATTCAAGCATCTGGTAAATAACAGAGAGGGAACCAATATCATCAACTGAAGACCACCGATCATACAATTGCAGCCAACAATCTGCTGTTGTCCAATTTTCTACATGCTCACGCACAAGTGTACGAAGTTGGGATGCTGCCACTCGTCCCTCAAACATTCTATAATCTGGGGAGAGAGTAAGAATTGCTTGAACATCACAAATGGCTGACTGATAATCCTCGAGGGCAAGATAGAAACAAAACCGTAGTTCCAAGCATTCTAATGCAAGTTTAAACCCCAGAACTCGATTAATTTCGGCAAGCGCAGCTTGAACATTCTGTTTTCTCATTAATGTAGCCGCCCGATACATGTAAGGGTAAGTGAGAGTTGGGTCCAGCTCAGATGCTTTCTCAAGGTTTTCCCATCTCTTATCACCTTCACAGTATAATGACCTCTCCTGATACATCCATCCAAGTGGGGTAAGAGAGCAGATTACAGAGCTCATCTTTTCATAAGACCAAAGTTTATGGCCCTTAATGTAACTCAGCCTAGCTAAACCTGCAACTGAATATATATGGCCTGCATTTAAAGCTGCCTCAAAAAGATGCTTAGCTTCGTCATACTCTTTTCTCAAGAGCCTCAGACATCCCAACTGATGGAATGCCAGCATTCTTTGCCTATCATTTTCAGAAAAATCTACCAACCGCTCCAGGAAACAAGCTGTTTTATCTGACTGAGGATCAAGGTTCATACAAACTTCACTTAATAAACAGTACAGCGAAAACGAAGCTAGCCCAACCATGATCAATCTTTGTTGTTTATCAGCACCCCTGAATATTTCCACCACTCGGCTGTCATTCAAACAATCAGGAAGATCATTTAAGAAAACTTGTAAGCATGACGCAGCAAGGACAGGACAATTCTCTTCAAGACCATATTCCATGAGTTCTACTGCATCTTCTCTAGAAGACACCACGGATGCAAGTTTCCTGTCACAGGCATCCTTGAGCTTTTCGCAACAAAATTTGTTTGCAAAAACTAGTATTTCCAATAAAAGATGAGTAGGGACTTCATTCAAGCTACCTGTCATACTAAATTCTTTGATTGTCCTCATACCTGATGCAGTGATATTGTTTTGCGACAAATCTATGTCCTCTCTAAGTGATTCCGAGAAACACCCATTAAGCATGGCATGAAATGGAGCAGAAAGACTCGATATTTTCTGCCTGTCACAATCTATTTTCTCATCTTCAATTCTAAAACTGACATTTCTGGATATTTGGTTCCCATTCATTGAAATATTCTCATGGGTACTACTCACAGTTGCATCAATAGGAAGCTCAGTCAAAATATCTACTGGCCCAAATTCATGTGCACATTTATCGCAGGTCACGAGCAAGTCAGAAATATGCTCTTCCCCTTGCTTCTCGTACTTTAACCATGCTCCAAATATGAGCTTCTCATGAATGGAGCTGGCTTTCTGCCAAGCTGCACGGAGGCTTCTTCGCATCAATTTGACTTCTCCAAGACCCCTAAAGACCTGAAATTGTAACAAATAAAGGTTCGACTGCTCTTCTGGAGGACACAACTCAAGTTCTTCATGAATTTGAGCTAAAACTTCTACATAATCAACGGGCTTAAAGAATGGGAGTACTGGAGGCTCAGGGACCTTGATAAGAGATTCTCTACAGTAATTCCACATCCATCACCGCAAACATAGAAAAGAAGAAATCAATATTGTGAAGTGGGAAAAAAAATACAGTTACTGAAACTAAAACAATTGGAAGAATGACTTACATGGAAGAAGAGGAGGAGTTTGATGGAAGCTTGGGAAGCTTCCCCCTTTCAACCTGGAGCCAAGACTGTGGATTGAGAGCATTGAGCTGTGATTCTTTACCAGACTCAGAGGGGAAAAAAGTCTTCATAGGGCATAAGATACTAAGCAAATCTCAGATCTCCAAAATAGCCAGATGGGTTTCTCTCTCCAAAGCTCAAACACAACAAATATTGGGGAAATAAAATACAGAGAAAAGTTTCAAGTGATCCCAAATCACTTGGCTGATAGATATCCCACCAATGAACCCACTACAAGCTAAATCATACAAAAAATTTCAAATAATAAGAACAAAGACAAACACAATTAATGTCTAATGGACCTATTTCAACAACTTGATACACACCCAATTCACCCCAGAGAAAAAAAAAAACTAGGGGTCCTTTTTCATTCACCAAAAAAAGATCAAAATTTTCTCTTTTTAGCATCAGAATCATACAGACAATTCATGTTTCTGTTTGAGCTCAGATGCTTTTTAGTAACAACAAAATATCATTACCGTCTTCTACTCAATATACCCTAAACCAGAAAAGACCAAACACCCACCGATAGTTTACATAAGATCTCTATCAGAAACGTGGTCGAACAATCTCATCAGAGCCCACCCAATCCCCTCATAAAATGCCAAAACCCCCATAAGCAAACAAGTGAGATGGAGAAAGGAGAAAGAGACCCACTTCACTTATGGCTTGAATTTGCAGGACCCTTATCACAGATAACAAGCTGAGAGCTTCAGAGACATGGGGCCAGGCCAGCAACCAAGTGAAGGAATCCAAATGAAAAATACCCACTTTAACTTTGCCTTCTTTTTTGTTTGTTAAAAGAGAAAGTCTTTTCCTTTTATCTCTCTCTCTCTCTCTTTCTCGCTCACTTTTCTTTCATTGGGAGACCAGAGAAGAAATAATAATACATCCCCTGCTGGTAGGGGTACAAAAACTAATCTCAATAAATTAAACAAAATGACAACAATTACACACCATTTAGAGGAAAGATATGGCCAAGTTGGAGTTAATGCAGGCCAATACGACCTCATTTTAGTGTGCCAAAGCCTATGATTTTGGCAGATTTGACTGGTTTCTATTACATCAATAATTGTCTCTCCAGTTTCCATAATATGGGGTCCTCCGAATTTAGTGTCAAATATTTTATGCTGCCCAATAGAAATTAAAGAATTTGGAGGGCATAGTGTTGTGTGCATCACTCAGACCAGAAGCAATGTATATTTTGTTTTCGAAAATTTTATTTGTATAAATTGACACGAAAGTTGTAAGGGACTTGTAATTCAAATGAACTGTTATCTGTACATTCGGGATCTTGGGTTCGAATCTCATTTGTATGAAAAGTAAAATAAAATAGACACGGAAGTTATTGCAATTCTTCTTACCAATGTAATTACCTCAATACAATTACGCGAGGGAAAGGAAAAAAATACAGTGAATTCGCAGTCTCTGCAGCAGCAGAGCGCACTAAGAAAGGAGGTAACGGTAACTAATAATTTAATATAAGCATGAAGACCGGAAGCAATTGTGTGAGTGTTTTATATGGGAGATTATATCTTCCCCTAGACAAAGTGCGAAACGATCAGCTGCTGCACATGCTGACACTTCTAGCAAATGCCGATGTTTTCGGCTTCAAAATCTCGGAAAATTAACTTTATGGAATGACTAAAATGACCCTGAGACATTCGTTCCTTTGTTGTGGGGCACTGAGAATGAGATTGGGAGTTGGAAAATTGACCTTGGGAAAAAGAGCTTTAAACTTTACTCTATTTTCCAAGATGTACTGCATAGTTTGAATTCAGATACAGCCTCCTAGCTACAGCCACAAATTGAATTTTCAAATTCATCACTTGCCTTGCCTTATGGAACACCCAATTCACACGACCGAGTGTGATTGAATGAAAATCGTAATTATTCCCGTGACATACAAGTCATTCTCATTATTCGAGAGAAGAATATTCATTTTCTTTTTAAAAAAAAAATTCATATGCTTCCAAATAATAGTCAACCACTAATACGAGCAACGGGCTTGTGGGTAGAAAAGGGCATTATTGAATTGAATGGGTTGTAATGGGACACAATGGGCAAAATTAGAGTAGTCCCAATAAGTCCTTGTGTGTGTATGCGTGTGGTGCGTTTAGAGTCGTTTAATTGTGTGCCATTCTAATCATCATGGGAAAAAAGACTAGGTCGAGAAAATAAACATTCATATAATTGATGCCTGCTTTGAACAACTTGTGCCCATTCAAATTTTCTCCAAAAGATATTATTATTTTTCACAATCATGATGATGTAAATTCGGGAAAACCCCATAAATGATTTGGGTGGACAAAAATATCTATTCATGAAATGATTTGGGTTAAGCACAGAGGCCCATTAAAGTATTGAATTGACAAGCCCAATTAATAAAGCACAAAATGGGCTAAAATCCTATCTAACCAGTCCAGTAACCTATGTTGTATGAGTACGAGTACGGATACATATCTGACATGTACCGTATCAAAAACGTATCCGGTACTCACATACCCCTTTGAGGCTTATCGGTGCAACATTGGTTTCCTCACTAGCAGTTGTTTTGCTATCAATATACTCAACAGTGAAGAAGATCCTACTACTTGTTATTGTCATGACTTCTTCTCAAGATAATATAAAAAATTGTTAATGGATATAGGAGACTTACTATTGGGGTCAACAGCAATAGGATTCTCTGGATCTGCTTTCCGATGGCAGCACAGGCTCAAGATAACTGCAAAGTAGCAGCTTGTGTAAAAGTATTTGAGCTATCTGGTCGCTCCACCCTCAGCTCACCCTCAGCTTGTGTAAAACCAACCATCCTCATATACTTACAGTGGTATATGATTCTGTCGGTTAGGCTAAGGTAGCTGCCGCTTTTGAAGGCAATGTGCAATGCTGTGTCACCTGTCCTGGTGATCCTTGCCTTGCGAACCTGAGGATTTTGCCTACAAATTTGAACAACTTCTTTCCATTGGCTTTTCATGGTGATTTTGAACAAGTATTTCTTGATGCTCTCAGTGTCTAGTATAGTCATGGTGTTTGTTGTCGTAGAAGCCATTTTGATCTCTTCCTGCTATAATCAACTAGCAACTAAACACTGACGTTTGTGTTTCTGTTCATATTTGTATTCACTCTTGGCTCGAGCTACTGTATATATAGTTCAGTGTTAGCTGTTATCAAAAGAAGACTGAAAGCTTGTTTCTCAGAATCTCTTAAGTGGGGTCAATAAGACTTGGATCTCAAGTAAGTTTTGTATGCTCTTCTAGAAGGCTTTAATTTCTTTAACAAACAAGAACCGTAATCTCGTCTTCCTTTTACCCAAGGAAATTATTGAGGAAATTTTACACACTCTTCTGTGATACAACACAGACTATAGCAGAAGGAAAATTAGTTTAGTCTTTACCTTTCCTTTTGGCCAGTTATCTCTAGTACCCTTTACACTTCTTTATTCTTCAAGGAAAAGAAAATAAAGTACACCAGTTCCATATATTCTGCTCTTTTCATTTTGGGGGTTACCTGTGGACATTAAAAGCAAGACTGCAGAGCATCTTAGATTATCATTTTGATGGACAGATCGCGACTTGAGCTTGATCTGATTTGGAATGACTTTTTTTGCACTATAAGTATTTGATGCTATTAGAGATTTACCTGATTGACAGATTTCCATGAAGAAAAAGGATTGTTTGTTTATTATACAAGCGATATTCTATTTTAATCTAATCTAAATTACGTGGAGGGGGATTCGAACTTAGATGCAGAATGGATAGTACATCTGCTCTAACTAACTTAGCTAAGCCCATGTCTGCCTATAAGATGACCAAAGAGTACAATGAACTAAAAAACGAGTGACTGCTACAATTCAGTGAAGTATTTGATGCTATTAGAGATTTACCTGATTGACAGATTTCTATGAAGAAAATGATTGTTTGTTTTTTTTACAAGTGATTTGTACCACTTTGCAAATGCCGAAAAGGGTAGAAAAGGGCATTATTGAATTGAATGGGATTGTGATGGGACCACATGTGATAAGAAGAAATGCAGTAAGTTAAATAATAATTCCACATGTTTTATGTTTATTAGATGATACACCAGACACGTGGTGTACCTGGAACATTTAAAAATTTCTCCAAAATTAGACTAGTCCCAATAAGTCCTTGTGTGTGTGTGTGGTGCATTGAGAGTCGTTTCATCGTGTGCCATTCTAATCATCATGGGAAAAAAGACTAGGTCGAGAAAACGAACATTCATATAATTGATGCCTGCTTTGAACAACTTGTGCCCATTCAATTTTTCTCCAAAAGATATTATTATTTTTCACAATCATGATGATGTAAATTCGGGAAAACCCCATGAATGATTTGGGGTGGACAAAAATCTGTATTCATGAAATGATTTGGGTTAAGCACAGAGGCCCATTAAAGTATGGAATTGACAAGCCCAGTTAATAAAGCACAAAATGGGCTAAAATCCTATCTAACCAGTCCAGTAACCTATGTTGTATGGGTACGAGTACGGATACATATCTAACGTGTATCGTATTGAAAATGTATCCGGTACTCGCATACCCCTTCGAGGGCGTATCGGTGCAACATAGCTTGTAAACGCCATAAATCTTAATTTGTTCATCTCTTACATAGAAAAGATTGCATGAAAACAAACAAAAACAAATTTTTTTAATTTAGAAGAAAAAACATACATAATATGTGTGTAGCACAAAACAAATCGCATAAAATTGAAGTACGCATGTTGAAGTTGGAAGCTAAAGCGAAGCAACCTTGTAACTCCTCCGCGGTACGTTCTTAAAGGTAGCCCAAATGAGATCAATGTAGAGCGGAAACTGAACCATCGCAAAAAACGTCACAGGCAAGCAGGTGAGGGCATAAACCGGAAACACAGCGTATTTCAGCTTATCTTTAAGCACGAAGAAATGCCCCGCGCAGAAAGAAACCAGCATGGAAGCTATGGACACGAACAGCGACGTCAGCCCTACCAGGAGCTTCCTGGGCAGGCCTTTGCCGAAGTCCTTCTCTTCATACCGTGACGTCAGAATGGACAGGAACATTACCATGGCCGTGACGGAGAAGCAGAGAGCCACCAGTGATGCAATGGCGAACACGTCGAAAGCTGGCTGGTTTTCGAGGGTCGGTTTGCCGCTGTCCTCTTTGATGCCGCCGGGGACGGTGGTTGCGGTAGCGAAGGCGACGGTGGCGATGAGGGCGGCGACGACGGAGCAGGACTCGGAAGTGTTGGTGAGCCACTGCCCTCCGTCTTTCACGATATTTTTGTGGGATTCGGTGAAGAGGTCCCTTGCCGTCTGGCCTATTCTATTGTGGCGGGCAAAGAAGTGCAGTGGCATGGAGTTTTTCACGTACTGCATAATGCTTCAAACAGATATTAAGCAAGTGTTTGGTGAAATGCCTCAATGAGATTGAACAAGTGTTTGTTGAAACGGCTCAAAGAGATTAATGGTCTATCCCGACAAAAAATCGCCGGAATAGGTCTATTATGATAAACATTCGCAGGGAGAGGTCTGTCCTGACAAAATGCGCTGGGATAGGTCTCCCGACAATATTCCACCGGGATAGGAAAGGTCTATCCCGGCAAAATTTCACCAGGACAGGTTCAATTCCTTTGCAGCTAATTAAATTGTTGAAATAGCACTAACTAAACAAGCAATTTGTGATACCTACCTAACAAAATGAATTTTATGAATGACACAGTCATGGCTACTATTTCTTGAAATGCCTCAAAGAGATTACACAAACGAGCAGCTGATATGTTTGTTTTAATATATAAGATGATTTGTTTGTTTAAGGGTCCTTAATTAATTACCTCATACCATTTGATTTCCCATTGCATTTGCAGCGCAGCTCCAGGAATGAGCCAAGGCTTATGCTCCTCTAGCTTTGCTGCGAGATGCAAAGCACTGTTTCCTTGGTCATCCACTTTACCGAACACACTGTCTTTCAAAACACTCCTCTTTAGCAAGAGCTGGTACACATGGGGCTGCCTGTTCTCCACCGCCAACAGCACCACATTCTTTTTCTCTGTGTTCGTGTCGTGGATGGCCACCGGAAAAAGTTCCAGGATCTTCTCCACCATTTCAGTCACACCACTTTTCGCCGCAATCAGTATCGGTGTCTCCTTCTTTGCCAATAACTTATCATTCTTCTTCTCTGTCGCTTCTCCTGATGACCCTAGCACGTAACAATATTATTATATCGTATATCAATAGTTCAAGTATCACAGTCTGACAAAACAAGAAAGCGGCTACCAATTACCTTCTCCAATCTTTTTTTTATCAGTTTTTGTCTCCCCTTTATCATCATCTTTTGGAAGTTCAATAATGCTTTCGCGTCCCATGATGACGTCACCGTCATCGACAATTTCATAAGGCAGTGTCTCTTCTTTGTCTTTGCCGGGATCCGGATTCATACCGCTGTATTCGTACTCATACATATACATGGAAGTACGTGTTAGCAGTTCATTCATGATCTGAACTGACCATTTGTGCTTTTCTTTCTTTTCCCGTATCTTTCTTATCTGCGTAGACCCTTCACACATTGATAGAAGGAAAACATATCCATCTCAAAATTAAATAGGTGAACCCAGATGAATTAAACCGGAAAAAAAAATTTAGGATTAAACAAAAAAGTGACTTACCTAGTCCAAGAACAATCAGCATTGCCTTGGATAAAAGTTTGACATACTCAAAGCAGATGCGGTAATTAGCAGGAAATGAATCAAATGATTGGTGACCTTCATCAAATGGACTGTGTGTTAGAAAAGACACGAGTCACGGACTCACGGGGTACTATCATATGACTAATACGTATTTTTTTTTCCAAGACCTTTTACTTGATGCAATTCTGTGTGTGTATGCATAAGCATTTATATAATTATTTTTACACTGTGATCTCCCATGTATGGCACCTACTAGTTTTTACTTCATAGGTGTGCGAGTGCGATATACTGAATAGTTAAGAGGATCCTACTAGTTGTTATCGTCATGGCTTCTTCTCAAGTTAATACATAAAAGATTAATTGTTTATGGATATATGAGACTTACTCTTGGGTTCAACAGGCGTCTCAGGATCTGCTTTCTGACAGATGGGGTTAACTGCATTGTGTAAAGTCTTTTGAGTACATAGCATATAATTAATGAAGTTGATGTTGGTGTTTGGAAAATACACAACACTTTTTTGTTTTGATTTTCAATTCACATACCAAAGCGAATCAAATTCCAGAACAACCTAATGAAGTTGATGCATGTCTGGTAGTTTTCTGGATAGTTTGGATCCTTTTCCTCTTTGAACGTCTTAATTATCCCCTGATTATAGCTATCCGGTAGCTCCAACCTGAGCTCATCCACATATATACCTTTCAAAAAAACCAGCCATACAGAAGAATATGAGTTCTATAAGTCTATAGTATATATGGAACTATCAAAAATGAATTATACGTGTTAATTTTGAATCTCGATATACTTACAGTGGTATATGATTCTGTCGGTTGGGCTAAGGTGGCTGCCACTTTTGAAGGCAGAAGGCTTAGCAGCCAGAAGATGGAGAGGGGAAACCCCTTGCTCATTCACAGTATTAGCAAGATCTCCATAAAGTTTAATTATCTGAAATGCCAGATCTGTCAACCACAACATATATATGTTACCACATTAATTGTTACTTTATTTCATGCTCTACATAAACAAATAGCTCATCACAGATATATGCAAGTGACTAAATTTAAGTGCTAATTTACCAAAGTAGTCCCCAGAAATTGCACAATGCAAGATAGTGTCGCCGTCCTTCCTCCTACAATAGTTGTAGCGTTTCTGCTCACCATCCGGGCTCTTGATGTAGATGTAGTGGAGGCATAAGAAGGCATATTTTTTACCATGGAGAGCGGCCAAGAAGAGAGGAGTCTCGTTGTCGTCGTTAGGAGCACCAACCAGCAACGGATGGCGTTGGGCAATGCATTCACACATCCTCACATTCCCCATTGATGCTGCTAAGTGGAGAGGGGTGTTCCCTCGCTCATTTTGCGTTTCGAGCTCATCATGGGAAATTAGTGTTACCAGTTCTTCAACATGATCTTCTTGCCGGTCGGACACTGCTATGTGCAATGCTGTGTCACCTGTCCTGGTGATCTTTGCCTTGTGAGCCTTTGGGTTCAGCCTATAGGTTCTAACAACTTTTTTCCATTCGCTTTTCATGGCGATTTGGAACAAGTATTTCTTGATCTTCTCAGTATCCATATTCTTGATCTCGTTCACGTCATCTGTGAAAGAAGAAGCCATATTCTGATCTATATTGGGTGACAATTGAAACCGACGTTGGTTTTCGTATATATGTGCTAGTAATGAACCATGTTCTGCATGATTTTATAATTGCCCAAAGAAGATACTTTATCCATGACCATAACTCTGTAATCTTCTACAAGAATACTAGTATACTACTTTTGGTAACATTGTATATGAAGATTGCACCTCAGGACTTTTTCTTTATCGATGCTTAAATGAGGGACGTCAATCCCTTCTTCCAAAGTCTAAAGACAATATTCATTGATCTGTAAATGCAGCAAGGTACATGGCCTCCGTTTCAATTTCCCTTGTTGCCCATCTAAAATGGAGAATCTGGCTTGCAACAGGCTCTGCAGTTCGATTTCCAATATGATGTCCTTACATTTAAGAAAAAATGGTACAAATTAAAAAGTGCATTACCATGGTTATATGGGACTTCAATTTTGCAGCACTCATAAAAAGGGTCTATAAGATCACTTGGATCTTAAGTAAGTTTTGTATGCTCCTATGATCCCTCTGCACACGTGGTGTTTCTTTATCATATAGAAATCCTGATCTCAACTCAAGTATATATGCATGGCTCCATGAGAACCTGCAGAAAAGGGGAGAAAGTAGAGAAAGTAGAGATGCTGGCAATTTCTCCTTTACCGCTTTAGTTATTTTGGCTACAAATATATATATCTCCACACTATACACTTCTTAATTTCCATGGAAAATTCTCTCTTCACCCTTTTCTTTTGGCCATTTATATCTATATCTCTCCTTTACACTTCTTACTCTTTATTATTACCAATATCACAAGTTCACAGCAGGACAGCTATTATTCCATATTCACTTTCCCTTTCATTTTGCGGTTTCCTGCCCGTGGACCAGATAAGCAAGATGGCCCAATGATCTTGGTTTTAGGATGACTTTTTTAGCTATAGAGATTTACAAGTGATTGATCCTTGCAAGTTGCAAATTATAATCTGAACTAATATATACTTACAATAGTTATAAGGATTTTGTCGGTCCGACTAAGGTGGCTACCATTCGTAAAGGCTGGAGCCTTAGTAGCCAGACGATGGAGAGGGGAAGCCCCTTTTTCATTGACATAATTAACAACATCTCCGTAACAGGTCAATTATACGAAATGCCAAACCTTTCAAGCACAACACGGACACAAACACAAACGCAAACAGATTGTTAATTAGTATCTGATATCATATCCTGGAAGTGATGAAATTAAGTGCCACTTAATTAATTACCAAATTAAAGTAGTCCCCCCAGCAATGGCACAATTCAAGATGGTATTGCCGTGGCGTTCCGAATGACCATCAAGGGGGTTGGGGGTATGGATGTAGATGTAGTGGAGGCATAAGAAGGCATCTTTTTTACCATAAAGAGAGCACCCAAGAAGAGAGGAGTCTCATTTTCTTGCCCATCGGACACTGATATGTAATGCTATGTCATTGTCACCCGTGGTAGAAGTCATCTTTTCTCTTCTTTTCTCTCCTCTCCTCCTATCTTCACTTCTCTTCTTGCTACGAGTGACAACCAATTTACTCTAGTAATTCATCACCATGCCCTATTTCTATACAATTTATTCTTGTAATCTTGTAGAACTTTTACTTTATAAAATATTTATAAATGAAGATTGCATGTCATAAGCTCCTTTTTATTTATTAATTCGTAAATAAGATTGAGGGAGGCCCACCCAATCATCAAAAGTGATGCCCTTGATTATTATAATTAAAGGCTAAAGAACATGAACAATTTCTAAGGACAATATTCATTGATCTGTATATATGCAGCAAGTGCATGGACTCTGTTTGAATTTGGAGAATAAACAATGGAACTTGAAAAGTGCCCAATTATATCAGAGAAGTAAGGCTGCAGCCATCAGGAAGCACATTCCCATGATAGCGTGGGACTTTGATTTTGCATCCATGGAAAAGTATTTCGGTATACCTCTAAGAAGATCATGACTTGGATGTTAAGTTTTTCGGTAATCCATCCACACACATGGAGTTTCATTCCAAAATCTAGCTATGATTTTTCTTTATCAAAGACGAATCCTGATCAATCTCTTTAGATTGAGGGGCCTGCAGAATGGAGGAGAACGTAGAGGTTGGCAAATTCTGTCTTAACCCCCTTAATTATTTTACTAATTATATGTCTCTCTAACTACCCTTTACACTTGTTAATTTCGAATGCAGATTCTCTCTTCCACCCTTTTTCTTTTGGCCAGTTATCTTCCCTTTACACTTCTTACTATCTTTACCAAGAAATTCTAATGACCATTTTTCAATTGGCCAAGATGGAGGTCCCCAAGTGTTTGATGCAACTTTTCTCATGTAGCGCAAGTGTTTGATGCTACCATAGCCTTATTACTTGGCTTGCAATCTTCCAAAGAAGAAAAATGTTACTTGTTTGTTCTTTCTTTTTCTTTTTTCATTTAACCTATGTATTACTTGATTAAATATGTCCATTGCACCAAATCTTGTTGGGTCTTGGCCAAATTGTCCTGCCTGTTTATGGGTTGAGTTCCGATTTCTTAGTACGAAAATATAAAATGGAAGTACTGAATTCAAAACCTTTTGCAAGTTCCTGATGCTCTGACTCTTATTTTTTTGCAGTTACAACTTACATAAATTCTTAAGGAGGAGCTACCTTGTAACTCCGTTGAGGCACCTTCTTATAAGTAGCCCATAGCAGATCAACATACAGAGGAAACTGCGCCATGGCAAAAAACGTTACAGGCAAGCACGTTACTGCATAAACCGGAATAGCAGCATATTTGAGCTTGTCTTTAAGCACGAAGAAATGTCCAGCGCTGAAAGAAACCAACATAGAAGCAATGGACACGAACAGCGACGTCAAGCCAAGCAAAAGCTTCCTTGGCAGGTCTTTACCAAAATCTTTCTCTTGGTACCGGGACGTGAGGATGGACAGGAACATCACCATTGACGTCACTGAGAAGCAGAGCGCAACGAGCGAAGCGATGGCAAATGCCTCGAAAGCTGGCTGGTTTTCGAGGGTCGGTTCGCCACTGTCCTGTTTCATGCCACCTGGAACAGTGGTGGAAGTGGCAAAGGCCACGGTGGCAATGAGGGCCGCCACCACAGAGCAGGACTTGGAGGTGCTATTGAGCCATTGGCCTCCGGCCTCGACTTCCTTTGCGTGAGTTTCGGTGAAGATGTCCCTTGCCGTCTTGCTCTGCTTATTGTGGCGGGAAAAGAAGTTTGGTGGCACTGAGGCTTTTACAAACTGCATACACGCATGTATAAGATATTAAAGTTGTAAATTGTAATTTAATTATTTTGATTAGACCATGGCACCTCTGGGGGATGAAAATTGAAATCCTTACCTCGTACCATTTGATTTCCCATTGCATCTGCAATGCAGCTCCAGGAATTAGCCAAGGCTTATGTTCTCCTAACTTTGCTGCTAGATGTAAAGCACTGTTCCCTTTATCATCCACCTTGCAGAGCAGACTATTTCTCAAGATCTCTCTCTTCAGCAACAAGTTGTACACATGGGGTTGCCTGTTCTCCACAGCCAACAGCACCATATTCTTTTTCTCTGTGTTCATGTCGTGGATGGCCACTGGAAAAAGTTCCAGGATCTTCTCCACCATCTCAGTCACACCATTTTTTGCAGCAATCAGTATTGGTGTTTCCATAATTTTCTTTGCACTAGGGGTTTTCATCTCGATCGCTTCTGCTGATGATGATGACCCTAGATACATTTCATGAGATATTTAATTTACTGGTTGGCTACAAGCTACAGCCATGTATAATTTTCTAAGCATGGTGGCAATGTGACATGTGCTGAATTAAAATTATACGTAGAGCAGTTACCTTCTGCAATGTTTTCTTTACCATTATTTGCCTTATTATTATTCTGTTGGCTATCTTGTAAAGACTCAATTTCATAGGGTCTTGTCTCATCATTGTCTCCGCGGGATGGTGCTGCGCCCTGCGGATTCATACCACTATCTTCGTCCTCGTACATAACAGCTCTTTTTAATAGTTCATTCATGATTTGAAAAGCCCATTTGTGCTTTTCTTTCTTTTCCCTTGTCTTCCGTATCTCCATAGACCCTTCAAGCATTAAAAGGGAAATGCATCTTACGTTATATAAATTATGTCTGCACTGGATAGGTGTAGAATCTGTAGATCAAAGCATGAGATGATGAAACATACCAAGAGGTTTAGGATTTAGAAAAAAATGGCCATACCTAATCCAAGAACAATCAGCATTGCCTTTGATATAAGCTTGACAAATTCAAAGCAGGTGCTGTAATTAACCGGAAATGATTGATGCCCTCGAGCTCCGTCTATATAAATAAACATATTTTTCATGACCAATTAACAATTTTGTAAGGGTTTTACTTCAGATTAGCCTTGAACTTGAAGCATATGAAAAAGAGTAGGCCTTTCTTGCCTGTATCTGCTCCAGGGTTCTCTGTATCTGCTGAATTCTGTCCTCTTCTTCTCAGAATTTTGGTAACTGCAAAATAGTAGCTTGTGTACAGTACTTGACTACAGAGCACAAAGGGCTGCAAATTGAATTCAATATTGAGAAACTTCGACATGCATCTAGCTATTTTGATAGCACAAAAGGCTGCTTCCTTAAACGGACTGATCCTTACAGAAAAGCAAGTATAAATTAAAGCCAATCTTGACTAAAATACTTTTGTAGTTTGAATTAAATGGTTTTAATTCGCATACCAAACAGTCGAACCAATTTCCTGAACACCCGAAAGTAGTTGACGCATGTCTGGTAGTTTTCTGGATATTTGGGATCCTTTTCCTCTTTGAATGTCTTAATTAACCCCTGCTTAGATTGATCCTTTTGTTCCACCTTGAGATCATCAACATATATACCTTCCAACCAGTCATACAGAAGAATTATTACTTTAATACAGAACTGATTGATCGCGATATATGTTAGTTTTCGATCTTAAGCATCCTTGCAAGTAATACTGTATCTGTACTAATACTTACAGTGGTAAATTATTCTCTTGAATGGCCTAAGGTGGCTACCACTTTTGAAGGCAGAAGGCTTGCTAGCCAGAAGATGGAGAGGGGAATACCCTTCCTCATTGACATAATTCACAAGATCTTCATAGAGGTAAATTATCTGAAATGCCAAATCTGTTAAGCACAACACAAATTGTTAATTCATTAATTTAATACATCACAGAAGAACATTTATAGAAAATCTAGCTCATCAAGAAATAGATCATATATATATATATATATATGCAAGTGATCAAGTGAAGCACTAATTACCAAAGTAGTCCCCGAGAATTGCGCAATGCAATATAGTTTCACCATCCGTCCTCCTACAATTATTGTAGCGTTGAGGATCATCAAAGGCAGGGGTACAGATGTAGTGGAGGCATAAGAAGGCATCTTTTCTACCATGGAGAGCAGCCAAGAACAGAGGAGTCTCATTATCTTTGTTAAGAACATTGACCAAACACGGATATTTTTTGGCAATGCACTCACACATTCTCACATTCCCCATCGATGCTGCGAGATGGAGAGGGGTATTCCCTCGGTCATTTTGAATTCGAAGCTCCTTTTCAGTAACCAATTGTACTAGCTTTTCAACATGTTCTTCTTGGCTGTCGGACACTGCAATGTGCAATGCTGTGTCACCTGTCCTGGTGATCCTTGCCTTGCGAACCTGAGGATTTTGCCTATAAATTTGAACAACTTCTTTCCATTGGCTTTTCATGGTGATTTTGAACAAGTATTTCTTGATGCTCTCAATGTCTGGTTTAGTCATGGTGTTTGTTGTCGTAGAAGCCATTTTGATCTCTTCCTGCTATAATCAACTAGCAACTAAACACTGACGTTTGTGTTTCTGTTCATATTTGTATTTACTCTTGGCTCTAGCTACTGTATATATAGTACAGTGTTAGCTGTCATCAAAAGAAGACTGAAAGCTTGTTTCTCAGAATCTCTAAGTGGGGTCAATAAGACTTGGATCTCAAGTAAGTTTTGTATGCTCTTCTAGAAGGCTTTAATTTCTTTAACAAACAAGAACCGTAATCTCGTCTTCCTTTTACCCAAGGAAATTATTGAGGAAATTTTACACACTCATCTGTGATACAACACAGACTATAGCAGAAGGAAAATTAGTTTAGTCTTTACCTTTTTCTTTTGGCCAGTTATCTCTACTCTACCCTTTACACTTCTTTATTCTTCCAGGAAAAGAAAATAAAGTACACCAGTTCCATATATTCTGCTCTTTTCATTTTGGGGGTTACCTGTGGACATTAAAAGCAAGACTGCAAAGCATCTTAAATGATCATTTTGATGGACAGATCGCGACTTGAGCTTGATCTGATTTGGAATGACTTTTTTTGCACTACAAGTATTTGATGCTATTAGAGATTTACCTGATTGACAGATTTTCATGAAGAAAAGAATTGTTTGTTTTTTATACAAGCGATGTTCTATTTTAATCTAATCTAAACTAAGTGGAGGGTGATTTGAACTTGGATGCAGAGTGAGGAGTACATCCGTTGTAACTAACTTAGCTAAGCCCATGTCTGCCTATAAGATGACCAAAGAGAACAATGAACTAAAAAAAGAGTGACTGCTTCAATTCAGTGAAGTTCAATACATATTAATTCAACCACCAAAATTAATACAAAGTAGGCTATTAATTGAAAAATGTCACTCGAGAAAAATTTAATATTGCTAGCATATAAATGAAGCCTCCTCAATCAAAGAGGAGCTACCCTTGTGACTCCCCTCTCGAATGGAACCTGGTTGAAGTTAGCACATATCATATTAAAATACAGAGGAAAGTGGCCTACAGCAAAAATAGCCAGAGGCATGCACGTTATTGCATAAACCGGAAACGCAGCATGTTTGAGCTTATCTTTAAGCATGAAGAAATGTCCTGCACAAAATGAAATCAACATGGAAACCATGGACACGCAGAGCAATGTCAATCCCAGCAAGAGCTTGCTCGGCAGCTGTTTTCCAAACTCCTTTTCCTTGTACCGGGACATAAGGATGGAGAGGAAAATGACCATGGATGTGACCGAGGAGCATAGTGCAATGAGCGAAGCAATGGCGAAGATGTCGAAAGCCGGCAAGTTTTCGAGGGTTGGTCTGCCAGTGATCTCTTTGATGCCACCGGGAACAGTGGTAGCAGTTGCAAAGGCAACCGTGGCGATAAGTGCGCCCATGACGGTGCAGGACTCAGAGGCCTTGGTGAGCCATGCCGCTCCGGCTTTCACGAGCTCTTTGTGGGTTTCTTTGAAGATGTCCTTTGCAGTCTTGTTTTCCTTATTGAAGCGGGGAAAGAAGCGTGGTGGCATGGAGGTTTTTACAATCTGCATATATGGTTCAAAGTTTGAGAACAAAAATGTTTACTAGCTATCTAGGTGTGTATTAGGCCTTGTTTGGTGGCTGAGACGGAATTGGACAATAGTCTAACATATTATAAACAACTAATTAAGATTATGGGTTTAGTAAAGTCCTCACCCGATACCATTTGATTTCCCATTGCATTTGGAAGGCAGGCCCATGAATTAGCCAAGGCTGATGGTCTCCCAACCTTGCTGCTAGATGTAGCACACTATTCCCTTTATTATCCACTTTGCTGAACATGTGGTCTTTGTTGGGGATATTCTTTCTTAGCAAGAGCCGGTACACATGGAGCTGCCTGTTCTCCACAGCCACCAGCACTACATTCTTTCTCTCTGCGTTGATGTCACGGATGGCCACCGGAAAAAGCTCGAGGATCTTCTCCACCATCTCAGTCACACCATGTTTTGCAGCAATCAAGAAGGGTGTTTCCCTCTTTGCCAGTGCAAGGGTTTTCTTCTTCTCTCCCACTTCTGCCAATAATCACGTATTAGGTACATTTTTTCTATCCTACCTACACTTTAGTGATTGGCAAGCTATAGCCGTTAGTAGAAAAAAATTATTGAGTGTATCCGAAATAGCACGTGACATACTGCTATGGTGTATCGAATTCACACAAATCGTGATATATTTTTACCATTCTTTGGCTTATTATCATCTTGTAGTTGTGGGGGAGGATTCATAATGGGCTGATTGTAAACGTTAATGCTTCCGAGGGTGACAACTTGGTCACCATATTGATCAACAATTTCGTAAGGCCATGTTTCTTGATCATCATTGTCGTTTTTGTGGGATGGCGCTGTCTGTGGATGCATACCATTGTTTTCGTACGCATACATCAAACCACGTTTTAGTAGTTCATTCATGATCTGAATTGACCATTTGTGCCTTTCCTTCAATGCCCTTATCTTTTTTATCTCCTTGGGCCCTGTAACCAATGGATGTATAAATGGATGCATAAGATGAAACATACCAAGATCAGAATTATAAATTAACTTCTTCTTTTTTTTTCTTTTTTTGGAAAAGAAAGGTGCAATACCCCATCCGAAAAGAATCAGCAATACTGCCTTTAAGAAAAGCTTGACAAACTCAAAGCAGGTGATATAATGTCCGGGCAACGATCGGTGTTGTCGTGTTCCATCATTTGATTGGGATCCTACATAAATCACACTAGATTACTAGAATAAACACATTTTTCATGAGTCCTGACTAATAAAACAGCGAAATTAAGAAATTAAATCATGACTAAGTAATAATTAATACAAAACTTACCTGGATTTCCTCTGTTCTGAGCATTAGGTCCTGCACCCGCAGGGTTCTCTGCATCTGCTGAATTTTTCCGGCTTTTGCCCTTATCGTGTTTGGTAACTACACACAATATAGAGGGCAATGGATATTGCATAATAGAAGTGTATAATATATGGTAGCTTGATCGTAAATCAATTGATTTGATTATAAATTCACATACCAAGAACTTGAGCCATATGCCACAACAACCGAAAAAAGTTTATGCACGTTTGATAGTTCTCTAGATATTTGGGATACTTTTCATCTTTGAATGTCTTGATCGTTCTCTGATCGTCATCCCAGTGACCCGGTCGTTCTGCCCTTTTGAGCTGATCAACATTTGTATCTTCCAAATAACCATAAACAATTAAGAAAAATCTCAATGCTTTTGCCATTGATATTATTCTGTTGTAATAGTTATATAATTATGTTACAGTTATACTTACAGTAGTAAATGATTTGGTCCCACGGCCCAAGCTGGCTCCCACTTGCGAAGGCATAAGGTTTACTTGCAAGAAGATGGAGAGGGGAGTTTCCTTCCTCATTTACATAAAAACTTAGTTCTTCATACAGGTCAATTATCTGAAATGCCAAATCTGTCAATCACAAAAAAAAACACAATTAATACTCTCAATTTTCAAGTGTGCTAGTGATCAAACAAATTGATTTTAAGTATGCCAATTAGTTAATTACCAAAGTAGTCCCGAGCAATTGCGCAATGCAAGATTGTATTGCCGTCCTTCCTCCTACAATATTTGTAGCGCTGCTGATCATCATGAAGGCTGCAAATGTAGTGCAGGCACAAGAAGGCAGCTTTTTTACCATGCAGAGCAGCCAAGAAGAGAGGGGTCTCGTTTTCTTTGTTGAAAGCATAAACCAACAAGGGATGATGCTTGGCAATGCACTCACACATTCTCACATTCCCCATCGCTGCAGCAATGTGGAGAGGGGTGTTTCCCCGCTCGTTTCGAATTTGCAGCTCGTCTGTGGAGACGAGTTTTACTAGCTCCTCAACATGCTCTTCTTGGCCATCGGACACCGCTACGTGTAGTGCTGTGTCACCTGACTCTGTGATCTTTACCTTGCGAGCCCGAGGGTCTAACCTATAGATTGCAACAACTTCTTTCCATTGGCTAGTTATGGTGATTTTGAACAAATATGTCTGCATGTTCTCCATGTTCTCTGTGTCCATAGAGCTGCTGCTCATGGTAGAAATCATTTCTTCTCCTCTCTTTTTTCTACTTAATTAAGTGGAAATTATATTGATAGGGACGTTTGTGTTCATATTTATACAACATTAAGAAATAAAGACTGAAATGAAGAAGAGTATTTTAGTAACTTGGATCTTTAAGTAAGAATAACCCTAATCTCATCTTTCTTTCACAAGCGAAAAAGGAGGGAATCATGTTCTTGTGTGATACTTAGAAACAGGCCATATATAGTAAGGTTCCAATTTCCAAGAGGTGAAGAAGAACAAAGGCAAAACTCTCTGATGTCTACCCTTTCCCAAATCGTCTCTTTATTTCTTTCGGTAACCCTTTACACTTTGTTCCTTTAATCTTCTATCAGAACAGATGCATTTAATTTCGGAATGACTTTTTTTATACTGCAAGTATTTGATGCAGCCAGAGATTTTACTTGATTTTTACAGTTTTCCTAGAAGAATAGTATTGCTAGGTCAAGGGAAAAACACACATCCAAATTCCAAAAGAGGAACAACGAGAACAATATAAAGGCTTGTATCAAAAGAAAATGATACAAAGGAACAGAGAGACGAGCAGAAAAAGCAGAAAAAAGCCACCAATTTTAATCAACATTAAGAATTATTAAAGGGAGGGAAATGAGTCAAACAATTAAAAATACTCAAAAACAGAAGGTAGATCCGTGTCTCACTTGGCCTTTTGTAATTACTGGTTTGAAATTTTCTATAGACATGGTTTTGACCGCATGCCTTACGCAGCTTATCAACTTATCTGCCATGTGACTTTGTCTGTGAATGATCACGACAGAAACCCGAAATCATTATTAGCTAGGACATGTACGTATTCAAGTTCAACCACCAAATTTAATACAATATAGCATATCAATCAAATATACGTCACTCAAAGAACAAGTTCATTATCACATAGAAAAGATTAACAGCTGATCTATTTTACTTCATGCTCTAATGAACTCCACAGGTTCAAGCTTTGCAGGAGAAACAGCAGGATCCTCCACAATAGCAACCAAGTCCACATCCTCCCCATTCAAATAAGCCTTCAAAAACGCCACAACAATCCCACCCACAGTCTTCCTCATGAGCTCCTTCGGACCCGTACCATTCTTGCACATACAACCCGAAAGTGCCCCAACCAAGCCGGGCGGGTCGTCGTCCAACATGTCCATGTGACCATAGTCTTTGACAACAAAATGTGCACATGGAGGCTTGCACTCATAAAAAAAGTCATTGTGGTTCACACCATTTGGAGCGCATGGCTGTGACATGCACGCATTCTTCTTTTCTGGTCCAAGGCCAGTGCCAATTACCGTGACCGGAATGGAGAGGCTGAAAGATTGAGGTTCGTAGGTGAGGATATGGGGCCTGATTCTGCAATGTTGGTTGGCGCCAGCCACAGGGTCAATGCCTATTAGCACTGAAAATTTGAGGGACAGGGCAGTTTTGGCACGCCCAAGTGCAAGTGCAAACGCTGCTTTGCCGCCTCTGCTGTGACCTGATAGAGCAAATTTGGTGAAGTCTGGTACAACATTTTCAGGTAGCAGGGATTGGAGGCCTTTTGCTAACCAGTTTATGACTTTGGCCCCTGAATCTATTTCTTCAGGTCCAGTTGAAGGCACGTATCCGTATAGCTAATCGAAGCACAATATAACGATTTAGTCTCTACTTTGTTGGAGGAGGTTGTGAGCTCAAATCTCAACAGTTGTTAGATTTCAAAATAAAATAAATAAATCATACTAAAAATGTACACTATTTTAATAGTAAGACAATAGTACCTGAGGTGCAACAGCTATGTATCCGTGTGAGGCTATATGTTGGAGAAGGTCTTGGTAGAAGTAGTTGCGGAGGTAGAAGCCATGGAGGAGCACGATTACTGGGTAAGTGCCGGTTACGGTTGGTGTGACGATTAACAAGGGCTTAGGAGGGGCTGAAGAATCAAAACAGGAAGAGCAAGGTGTCTCCTCTGTAATGCATTTGAAGGGGAAGTTCCCTTTGTCAAAAACAGATGTGGCCAGTAAAGGCTGAGCAGCTGTCTTAGATTTTTCCACAAGTGCCATGGGAGGAGCTCAATGGTACGTGAGCCTTTGGCCTTGATTGTTTCTTATAGCAATGCTTATGGCTGCCAAACTCGGCACAAAAGTTAAATTTGACAAAATAACAAGAAGGCAAAAGAAAATGAAAAGAAAAGTAGATAAACTTGTATACAACAGGAATAACATTGTTTTGCTATCCCCAACCAATCAAATTTGGCTATGTGTGATAAGACATTCACATGATGGAGCGTGATTGAATGAGAATAACAAAACAATATCATTTCCTGTCACGCTACTCCTCAAAGAAAGAGGAGTTTTAGGAACACAAGGAAAACGCAACTCTTTTAAAAAAGGGAGTTTCACTAAAACACCCAAAATAGGAGCTGAAATTATAAAAAAAACCCCACATGGAATGCACTTTAGAAATACACCCAAAATCCATTTGTTATATAAGAAATTGGTGTTGAAGTTCCTATAAATTACAGGACTGCCATTGAAAAAAAACTCAAAAAACATCCAAAACAAGCCCAATCAAATTTTATAAAAAAGCCCAAATTTTTTTTTGGTTACAAAAAGTCCAAAACATTTTATTACAACACATAACTGTCTCGAAAATAGTAACTTCAAGCACGCATCTTCATTAAACCATCTCAACAAAACATCTCTTCATTTCACCGTCTTCATCATTTATGCAAACTGAAACTCCATAACAACCACCAAGCTTGATCTACTTTCAAAAACCAACACCACACACTAACCTCCACCTGCAAAACAAAGATAAAATTTCAGAGAACAATTTCAACAAGAAAAGGCTTCAAAGGTAAGACATTTAAAAACCAAACCTTTATTGTAATGTTGATTAATTGCTGTAAAGTTCCAGTCTATAATAATAACAGTATTTTATATTCGAATCCAAGACAAAATTTTGAAATTATATTGGATTTTCACTATTGAACTAACTGCATATGACTATAAAATAGTCAGTTTTCAGCAACTCAAAAAAGAAAGAGATATTTAGTCATATACTCATTCTTAATACTGCTAGTTTACTTTCATGTTGATTAATGGCTGTAAAGTTCCAGTATAGGGTAATAACACTGATTGTTTCCTCTAAAATCCTATTTTGAATGCATGTTTACCACCGTAAAGTTCCAGTATATGGTAATAACACTGCTTGTTTCCAATGAAATCCTATTTTGAATGCAAAAGTTCCAGTACAGGGTAATAACACTTCTTTTTTCCTATGAAATTCTATTTCTAATGCATTTAACCATTGTAAAGTTCCAATATAGGGTAATAACACTACTAGATTCTTCTGACATCCTATTTCTAATGCATGTCTACCCCTTGTAAAGTTCTATTATAGGGTAATAACACTGCTAGATTCCTCTAAAATCCTATTTCTAATGCATGTTTAACCCTTGTAAAGTTCCAATATAGGGTAATAACACTGCTAGATTCCTTTGAAATCCTATTTTTAATGCATGTATACCCTTTGTAAAGTTTCAATATAGGGTAATAACACTGCTAGATTCCTCTGAAATCCTATTTCTAATGCATGTTTACCCCTTGTAAAGTTCCAGTATAGGATAATAACATTGCTAGTTTCATATAAAATCCTATTTCTAATGCATGTCTACCACTGTAAAGTTCCAGTATAAGATAATAACACTGCTTGTTTCCTATGAAATCATATTTCTAATGCATGTCTGTAAAGTTCCAATATAAGGTAATAACACTGCTACCTAACAACAAATTATAGTCGACTCAAAAACCAATAGTGCATAAACAGAAAAAACACGAATATACTCATATTCAAAATTAATATGATAACAAAATCAAATATCACAAATCTGTAACACAGCTCAAACCAAAACACAAAAAGCAAATCCACAACCAAACTAAATTTGAAATCAATCCAAATTATAAACAAAAAAAATTAAAATCACAATTTAAAACTCAAACGAATATCTAATACAAATTAGAACGAAATTAGAAAATCCAATAGCTTATCTCCAAATCGACAATAACAAAAATAAACATATAAAATCAAGAAGAATTGGATCTACATTTCAAATTTAAACTCCAAAACTGCAAAAATTATGAAAACTTAACCAGCAACTTAATTAATCGAACATGAAATCACCCAAATCATACTACAATAAAATCAAAAAAGTCCTTACAATACCTATACCAACATATTCAGACTAACAAGGGGAAATTTTTGGTCTTGGACCCCGGCCAAAAAGTGGCCGGAGTAATCCGGAACACTGCCAAAGCCGTCGGTCAAACTAGGGTGTATTGATTAATTTCCAAAACTCCAAAATCTATCCTAACCACATACATAAACAGCTTGAGCACGAAAATTAGATAAAGTTTCATACCTCGATCGACGGAAACAACAGCCGGAGTCACCGGAAACGACATCGGAAAACTTGAAATCCACAGACCGTTTTGAGTTCGCAGTGGCGTCGTAAATGGCTGATGTGGTTGGGCTTTAGCCCAGACTTGATCGTCGGCCTTGACCGATCCTTTTCCGATCGCTGTCATGCTGGCCGTGGACGGAGCACCAAGATCGTTGGCCTAGGCTTGGTTTCTGCGAAGGGAAAGAGACGAGAGAGAGAGAGAGAGAGAGAGAGCCCAAATTTTTCAAAAAAAACTAATTTAATACTAAATGGGTAATAAAGGTATTTCATTTAAGTAATTAAACTAAAAAATATAACAGCTGTCAGTTTTGGGTATATTTTGGGTGTGTTTATATGTTTTAAATAGTGTAGGGTATATTTATAGTTTCATGTCTAGAATTGGGTATTTCACTAATTTTGTATTTAAAAAATAGGTCCATTTAACCAAGACAAAGTTTGAATGGCAGCTAGCAGAGGTCCGATCAAAAGTTGGGCTACTAGGACTGTTTTACAGTACTATTTGGAGCGGTCCAAATCTAAAGTGGGCCTAACAAGCCTATGATTTTAATACTGCTCTTGTCACCTTGTGCTGGTGTGCCTAACTTTGCGTGGCAGGCTGTGTTTTATAGTTTGTTTTTTTTTTGGTCGTGTGTGTTTTATAGTTTAGTCACATCTCAAGTGGTGTTATTGTTATTGTTTCCAAAAAAAAAATTCACAATAAAAGAACTATCAAATAATCTGCACACAAGATATTGAGAACAAGTAAAGGAAAGTAGTCAGACAAGTAATTAAAGAAAATATTTATTTTATAAGAATTTTTTTTAAAACTCAAAATAGTGGAGAAAGCATTGATGGGCCTTGAGGTTAATGACCAACCCATAACTGCTCTTTTTAGCTTTTCTATTTGAGCCCAACAACTATCCAAGCCTCTCGTTTTTTCTTTGACAAATGGATATAGTAAACTACTGTACTCGACGGGAGATCGAACTCGAGTGCAATTGAGCATGCACGTTTTCTTGGCCAAATTGTTTAACCAACATTTGCCAGCAACTATCCAAGCTCACCCCCCACATAATTATTTTAACATTAAAACTCACACAATAATTTATACTTTTTTTTAATGGGAAATTTAAAGCAAACAGATCTAAAGAATTGATGAGAAGGGAACCGAAAAAAAGTTTCTAGCTGGGAAAGGCACATAATAATTCGAATAATAAAATAGTGGGACAATTGGGCCATTTACAAAGTATATGCTGACCCAAGATTTCTCACATATTCCCACTTTCATATCACCTCCAAGCAACTACCAACTTCCTTCGCCACAAAGGTACACGCGAGACACATCCAGAACCTCCACGTCGCCACGTGTCACTACCAACTCAACCGCGAATTCCCACACGTGTACGAGATTTATCCGGAAGTCTCTAAACAGCACCCCTTGTAACCTCCTAAACCCCGCTGGCATTTGGACTTATTTACACCCCACGCCCCTCCTTCCACTCTTCGCATCCAAAACTCCTCACTTTCCCTCACTTCTCTGTAAATAATCCCGAGAAACAAACAGGAGAGGTCGCTAAGGATTTCAAGTTCATAGCGAGATGTGGAACCAAGCGTACCGGAAGACTGACGTGGAGGCCGGAGTAGGACCGAGTCCGCTCTACCCGATGATGCTTGAGAGCCCCGAGCTCCGGTGGTCCTTCATTCGCAAAATCTACTCGATCATAGCCATCCAATTGCTCGTCACCATCGCCGTCGCCGCCACTGTCGTTTCGTACCGTCCCGTCGCTCATTTCTTTGTCAGCACCAGTGCCGGCCTTGCCCTCTACATCGTCCTCATCATCTTGCCCTTCATCGGTATGCTTTGTGTTTCAGTAAAGTTGATTCCTTTTTGTTTGTTTGTTTGTTTGTTTGTTTGTTTGTTTTTTTTTGGTGTGTGTGTGAATTCATTGTGAAATTTAGGGTTTTGATTTGTTATTTGGCTGCAGTGCTGTGCCCGTTGTACTATTACCACCAGAAGCACCCGGTCAATTACCTTCTGCTTGGAGTTTTCACCATCTCTCTTGCCTTTATAGTCGGCTTGACATGTGCGTTTACTAGCGGTCAGTGCTCATAATCTTTTCCTATTTTGTTTCGGATGATTGGGTTTGGTTTATATTTCGCTGTATTCTAGTGAATTGATTATGAGAAATCTTTCCCTACTTAGAATATAAATTTCTTTGGGATAGCTGGTTGAATGGGATGGGACCAATAGTTTATGGAGTTTAATCCAATTGGCTAACAACATTGTGAATTTTCTGTAATTTGTTCAACTGTGTAAACAGGGAAGGTCATTTTGGAGTCTGTGATTCTGACGGCTGTGGTTGTGCTTGGTCTCACCTTATACACATTTTGGGCTGCAAAGAGAGGCCACGATTTCAACTTCCTGGGACCCTTTTTGTCTGGAGCTATACTGGTCCTAATTGTCTTTGCTTTGATTCAGGTATATGTCATGCTTGTTTGATTGAACCTTCATGCTCTTGTGAATTCAATGTGCCTTTATTGTATTTGGTTAATCTTTTAAATTTTTTAACTGTTGGGTTCCTTTTGTTCTTCATATCTGGTTGCAGGTTTTCTTCCCCCTGGGTAAGATCTCTGTGATGATATATGGGTGCTTGGCTTCGATCATATTTTGTGGCTACATTGTGTATGACACCGACAATCTGATTAAACGCTACTCCTACGACGAGTATATTTGGGCTGCAGTGTCCTTGTATCTGGATATCATCAACCTTTTCCTCGCTCTGCTCACTGTTTTCAGAGCTGCTGATAGTTGAGAACTTGGCTGCTTGATGTCTGTTCCCCCATGTAATTATCATTGAAGTCGTTATGGTTTTACAAGTAATTGTGAATGTCTTAAAATAACTAAACTCTTATCATTTTACACTGATGAATAGTTGATTCTCATGGAAGATTTTTGGTGCTTGGGAGTATATATGTGTTTGATTGGTTCATTATTTCCATTGAACCAGATTACTGTTTATTCAAATCCACTCAATGTTGCTTTTAGATTTTGGCCAAGTCCAATGTCAAAGGTGAATGTCTAGTGTAAGCTTTCTTTTTGACATGGATTGCTCTACATCGGATTTTCAGGCCAATGCACTTGAGATCATTGGGGTGTATACTTTAAGTTGAACAGAATATGTTTTGTCACCTAGCTTTAACATTGTTGCTTTTCAGAAACCATGGCAGCTAGTTTAAGAGTATTTTCCTTTTCTTTTCTTCTTTTTGTTCCTCCCTCTTCTTCTATTTGGGGATCAACAACACTTTTAACCCAAGTGGGTTGGTCAAGAGTGTAGGCTGAGTAGGAGGAGCGCTGGTTTGAGGCGCTAAACTCTCAAAAATTGGAGAAATTATAGAATGCTACCGTCGTATGGAGAAATTATAGAATATTATTGTTGCACAGTACAGTCTAACTATAACATATATTTCCATAAAGCAGGTCACGTCCTTTGAATTGAATTCAAAAGTGCTGTGCTTTTGCTCAGGACCTTTTACATATGCGCCTCCTACTACGTCTCCCTATTTATACGAACAGAAGATTAAATGCCTGCTTTGGAACATAAACCAGAGGCCCTAATTAATGCCTGTTCTTCCTCTCGGCGACAATAGACAGCAGCCTTGAAACTCCATGCGTCCACACGTCGTGCTCTCTCTGGTTCTTACACTCGAACTCTACGACCCCTCGTGCCTCTGTTTTCAGCCCAAAGTAACGACGCTGCTCTCCATCGTCGAACAAGTGTCTTCCTGGCCATGCAGACATGTTCTTGCAGACCTCCAACACAACATCTGCGCACCCAATAGAAAAGGTTTATGTTATAAATCTTAGTCAAAATGTTGTCACTAGGTGTGTAACGAGTTGGGTTGGATCGAGTCAGACGATTCGGTCAGTTAACCTGAAATTGTCCCCACCCCACCCCTAGCAGTCACCTTTAAGTGTGCCAAGTAGTAAAATAGGCTTACTCTTTTTCTTCTTGGTGAAAGTTCCTGCAACGTGTTTGCTCTTCATTTTTAGCATCACCTGCCCTGTTCGGTGAATATAAACAGATACTATTTTCCAGTGCAGATCGCCTGCAAATGTGCAAACCATATAGGTCAATATATATCGAATTTGGGTACTAAAATTTGGGTTTTTTGTTTTGAGGGTCAAGTTAAGTTATGGTTTTGAGAGTTTGACCTTTTCGTGTGCGTTTGAGGAGCTCAGTGCCCCTAGCAAGGAGGTCTTGGTTAGAGACCCCAAGAAAGGTAGTGTCTAGAGGAGAAGGGACAACAAGCTCATCACTAAAGCTGCCATTGCGTTCACCATTATTAGCTTTTCCGCAGACTCCGATTCCCATTCCCTTTTCCACTGGTATCACTGCTGCTATGTTCCACACCTCCTTCATTGCCCTTGCCTTTAGGGTCGCTGCCCCTCTTAAAGCTGCAATCACAGGACACAGATTTCATTTAAAGTAGCATTATTGATGTCTAATTAAATATTGGGTGGTCAAGAAAAATTACATGGTTTTCAATTTTATTACAACCTTGGAAAGAATATAACAACCATTCATTAAAAAGAGTATGTCACAAAATTTGAGTGATTTTATTTTATATAAGCAATAGTCTAAACTACTTTAAATTAATACAAATTACAGGCAGGAGATTCAAAATTGCGTGCAATGAGGCAGACAGATTGTCTGCACGTTTGTAAATTTGAATAATATTAGAGGCATCATATTTTTAGACTATACTATGTTGATACGGTACATCAATTATTATGACTAGTAGCTAATTAACACATCGCCTAGTTTAGTAATGTGGTCTAAAAATGTAGAATCTTTAGTAAAATTTGGGCAAGATTTTGTCTAGTAATTTAGCTAGCAAGAATTGGTACCTGTGGCAGCGGCAGCTGTGAGAGTGGTAATGTCGTCGTGAGAGCGAACATTAACAGCAGAGCTGACCACAGAAGTGAGATGGTCATGCTCAGCTCCCATGGCTTCTGCAGCCTCAGCACATTGAGCAGCTACAAGCGTGGCAGCAGATGCCACAGCCATGTCTGTCTTGGCTGCTTGTTCGTTCTTTCTTGACGCTGAAGAAGCCGCTGTGGCTGCAGCAATGGTGGCCACAGCAGCAGCCACCGCGGCAACTGAAACAGCTGCGTGGACCTGTGCATTGTGGACTCTTGTCTCCTCCTTTTTCTTCTCTTTTCTCTCTTTCAGCCACCTCCCCACCGTCTTGGCCCCTCCAGCAGCAGGGGTATTGTTGGCATTTCCGGCACCGCTGCGGCTGGCGTTGAATAGGTTGTGGATGCTGTTGTGGGTTCGAAAGTACTGCGTTCACAAACACAACTCCATCATGATCAAGCAAAAAAAAAGGGTATTTACAAAACTTATATTATAATTTAAACAAAATTCTACCTGATTAATGGTACAAATTGAGTTGTGACAACATGACATGTTAGGAGAAAATTTTCCATAAAAAGAATCCATGAATTTGAAAAGGAGTTGATCATTCAAAAGCACCAAGAACTTGGCAGATCAAATATCATGCTCTATTTGTTGTAGTTTTTTTGTGTTTTGGGCTGAAGGGTGAGGTTAGTTGGGATGTAGTGATGAGCTCTGCAAGCTTAGAATCAGTGCCGGGTTGCTTACAAGCAGCAAATTACTAAAACGAGCAAAGGTGCAGAAAAACAAGACAAGGCAAGAGCTGAAGTTACCAACTTAAAGCATATCTCTGGTTTGTTCTATTTTACACTCCACCCTTCTTTTCATTTCAAGAGACCCAATTTGATGCTCAGCTGCTGTCAGCTCATCTTGACTCTTGATGTCTGAGCTCTAGGCAGAGCCTAGACCGGTGCCAAGCTAACTGGCATCCATGTTTTGTCCCTACCCTTTTTCTTTTTTAATTCATTTTCTCTTTTGGTTTAGTTATTTTGACTTGTAGAAAATAAGGCTGGGTTGATAAGACATCCAAAACAGATTTTTAAGGAAATAATAAAAGTTTCTTCTATCTTGAAAGGAGAGAAAAGAAAAAAAGAGGAAGCATCTCCTGCATTTTTCTGTGCCTATAAAACATTAATGCAATAAAATAACACATAGATTACTGAGTAAAAGGACATAGATGTATCATCAGATGGTGTGTGGGTGACAGAGGAAAACAGAGAAAGCTGAGGGGCATCGTCACATTGGTCTCCTTGTTTGTTTTCCTTCTTGGACAAGAATTGTGGAAATTTAAACAAAATACCATTAAAATAAGACTATGACTCTGAAGAAACAGAGAGGAAGGAGAAGAAGACCTTAACGACGTCGTCGTATTCCTCAGAGGGAGAAACTGGAGGGCTATCTGTCTCTGTTAGAGAACCACCAGCGTTCAAAGGTCCACTGCTGTGTGAGAGCCTGCCTGATGTTAATGGAGAAACTTCCTGCAAAACCCAGAAGAACTTTAAGCCAAAAAGTAAATAAAAACAAGAAAGTAAGAAACTTGAACAAATATGAAAGAAACAGAAGCACACCTCTCTCATGGACTGAGACATAATGCGATCAAGCACAAGCTGAGAAGTCGCAGAGGAAGCAAAGTAAAACTGATGGCCAGAGAGAACTGGAAGCTCCTCTGACTCTCCAGCAATGTCTTCAGGTATAGTGGAAGTGGTGGTTGTGGTGTTGCATGAAGAAGAGCTGTTTGAAGAAGACTTGGAAGAACCCATGCAAGAAGGAGGCAGAGGAGGAGGAGGATGAGACAGAGCTTTGGAGACTTCAAGAGCAGAGGCACTCCAAGACCTTGACAGAAACTCCATTGGAGCTCTTGGGCTTTTGGGCAGGTGGTCAAGGTTGACCGGGTTCTGCTCAGTCCGGCGAGTGCTTAGCATTGGCAGTTTCTCTTCCATGAAAGTGAAATATTGTCTAGAGAGAGAGAGAGAGAGGGGTGGGTTTTGAATTTGGTAAAGGGTTCGTGGGTTTGTGGGTTTTGGCTTTGGGATCAAAATATGGACATAGTCACGTAGATATATACACACACAAGGAAAATGAGTATGCCTATTTGGTAATTAATGATCAATAAATCTATGTGCATATTACTGTGAGTAAGCAAAAGATGGGATTTATTAGACATGGTCTTTGGTCAAATTGAATATGGTAAAGTACTTTTTGTGGTGCCACCTGGAAAGATGAGTATTTTATGTTAGCTTTATTTGGAACTTATGATGGTGTGAAAGATTAGTGCATAAATAGCAATTTTGTAAGCATTATACTTGTACAAAAAGACGTTTTAGGGATGCTTTTAGCCCCCCCTTCTATTGTGTGGGCCTACTTTGATCATGTGACTAATCATCTTTCTTCAAAAGAGCTTTTGTTTGCTAAAGGATACAAATGATAGGAAAGTTATTAAACCACTTCACTCTTGAGTCTTCACACACACACCAAAACACATACAAAAGTGATGAACACCATTTTTCAACATACCAACTCTTTTTTCTTCCTGCCAACGTGGTGGTCTAGCCCAACAGCGTCATAGTTGTGTGTGTATAAGAAATTCCTCCTTCTCTCTAATTTAGGCTTTCGTACTTATAAAAAAAAAAAAAAAAAAAAAAAAAAAAAAAAAAAAAAAAAATTTATTTTTTTTTTTAAACATTGATTGATTGTTATTATTAAAAAATAATTCAAAGTCTCTTCTTTTGGAATCCACCTTAGATCTTCGTTGTAACTCTTTCTTGTTTAAAAATAATCCATTTACCTACAAAAATATTTCAAAGTATCTCATTCTCATTGCAGCTTCAATGGTGACAGAGGCATGTAAAAATGAATGAGATGTCAGAAGGGCTAGTCTCCTTGGGTGGGGGTGACCCAAGTGATTATGTTTCTTAAGCTAAGGACTTGGCAACGTCCAAGGCCGACATGTTTGGAGGTCAAGACAAATTTTTAAATGGAACCATTTGTTCTCATACTGTTTTGAGAGACACAAAGCTGCGCACTGGAGAGGGACCTATGCTAAAATGCGCGTGCCTGCGCACGTCATCATCTACAACTTTGGCTCTTTCTTGGTATAAATAACACCCTTTTCATAAAAATCTGACTACCAAAGGATCGAAAGAAGAGAAGCAGCCTTCTTTTTCATCTGTAAGGCTTTTTTTGTTTCTTAGCCAATGACTATTGACTAAAGGAACACCCTTTATTCCTTTTGCCTCATTTTTCCTCATAATTCCATGAATCATATTTGCCAAATTGTGTTTTGTGTTATAATTCCATTGTTCAAATGTGTTTTGTACCCTTTTTTTGGGGAAATTAGAGATGCTAATTGATCTCCTTCAATAAGGGAAGACTTTGAGTACGTCTCTCAATAGAATATTGTGGTTGAAGTTTACTTTACATGGAGACAAGAACTAAAGCTTCAATTTTTATTTTCAGTTAAGAAGATATAAAGCCTTTTTAACAGACTCATTGAGAACATAGCCCGGTAGTAGGTACCACCTTTGCCTGGTTGAAAGTTGAAACTATTCTATCAAACTGTTTCTGCAGCCAGAGTTTGCAGATTCTGTTTCCTTTACCACGAAACCAGTAACACAACTTGATCAGTGCAAAACTCGAACAACCCGAAACTTATCACGGGCGGCTGAACATCTTATGGCTTTAGTTTGAAGAATTGCAGGGTGTAGTCTCAATTTATCTCCACTTTTTACTTGTAACATGTTAAGAGAATGGTATGAAGAAAAACACAATAAATAAAATCAGGATCTATGATGTGAAGAAGACAAAAGTTTACATGAACCAATTACTGATGAATCTATTTGATCAGTCAGAGTGAAATTAGCAATTGGGAATATACAAATCCAAGGAACACTTTATCTATTAGACTGCAAACCAGTGCCACCATAGTATTGCTTGGTGGTTTCGCGTGAGAAATCTGCAAATGTCATCCCATCCTTCAACCGCAATGCCAGAGGTGGTACAATCTTCTGTATTTCTTCAGTGAGCCTACTTTGTTCCGGCTCATCAACTTCTTTGACCTCTGTCGACATCCCCAAGTTCATGGGATACTCTGTTATGGAGAAAGTTTTGTTCCATGCAGGCTGCAAGAACAAAACAAAAGTCTCTCTGCTCAAATTTTCAAACTTGGAAGGCCTAGCAACAGAGTGCAGGGTGGCGCGAAGCTTTCCTCGTGATATGATATCAGCTGACTCCCCAACCTGAACTATAAAACTCTCATGTGAGGCCTTCACCATGAACACATTATTCTTGATGGGATCAAATATTTGCAAATAAGTATGCCCATTTGGATAGGGGCATTCTTCATCTCTTTCCTCTGTTGCTTCTTGTGCAGAATTAGGCAATAGAAACATTGGAGCTGTTAAGACAGTGAAAATCCCATAATCATAATGCCATTGCTGCCACAGATTATCAGAACCAATCCCAGAAAGTTGTTTATGTTCATCACCAATCTGTTTCCAGCTAGAATTTAAGGGTCTTTTTGATGTTCTCTTTGTGCTCATAGCTTCTTTTACAAGAATGGTTTTATCAATTGGGGAATGGTAGTGAATGAGGCGAGCTTTGGCAGTGCAAGATTCCAATAAGCTCTGCTCAAGCTCATTGCCACCAATGGCTCTGTCACATACTCGAGCAAGCTGGAGCCCAAGCTCCATCATGCCAAACCCTAACTCTCTAAACCCATTTCCAAGATTCTCAAACTCAACCGTTGATCCATGCTCTGAATTCAATTGGGTTTCATCAAAATCATGTGAATATTTGATTTGCATTGCGAAAGATGACACATTTCTCTCAGGGTTTTTCAAAGGCACATCGCTCCCCAATTTGTGATCCTAAACAAACACATAATTAATTACTTGGGCAAAAACAAAATCTAGAAAGATTTGTACTTTTCCTTTTTTGGTGGGAAATTTAGTACCTTGAGGATAGTTTTACGATGGTTTGGGTTCAGAAGGGCGAGCTTGCGAGCGAGAGGGAGGAGGTCACGACGGAGAGCGGCAGCGTTGGGGACGCCGGTGATCGATAGCAGGCCTGGGCCCACGGGCCCTAGGGCTTCCATTATGGCTTTGCTCGTTGACTGCAACTTGTCAAGCTCTTCCGCCGACGACAATGATACATTGCTGGACGACACAAGTACGAGATCCGGGTAGCTGAGCTCGTAGGGTTGTAGGACTTCCGCTTCTTCCATGTCTGTCTGTCTGACAGTTTCGTTTTCTCGAACTTGTTCGAATTTAATGTAAGATGATGCAGAATGCGGCCCAATCCAAAATGACCTCACATTATTTTATATTTGTTATTAAAAAAAAATTGGCCATAATTAATATATAATAAGATCATTTTAGGGTTATGAGCGATGAATGATGAAAAATCAGAGAGCTTGAAAAATAGGTGAAGAAAAAAAGAAAAAGAACCAACAAAAGTCACAACCAAAAACCATTCAAAACTGTTTTAGTTTATATTTTACAATTCCACTCACTTTAAACACTTTCGATGCCACCTTCAGCATGAAGGTTTAACCAGCTACTCTTTATGTTTTCGAATTCCAGAAATCAGAGACGGAGAATTTACAAGTTGAAGCAATCATAGTGTGAGATTTCGGGACTAGGTTGCGGTCTCTTTGAAGCTCTTGGTCAACCAAATGGCAGTTTCCCTGGGAGAAACCTTCTCAGGTCCGAATGGCTTCAACAGCACCCCAAGCTCTTCGAACCTTTCCTGTTGTAGAAGACGTGCACTGAACTCAAGCAACCCTTCCAATGCCTCTGCGCGTTGCTGGAACGATGAGGTGTCAAACCGCTGCTGTCGTGACTCGGAAGATGAATGGCTCGAAACACCAGTGGCAGTATTTTGATCAGAGGACTCGCTGCCATTTCGAGCAGCTCCATTGCTCACCTCAATCAAACTGGACTTGGCAACGGTTCTGTCAACAACTTGGACCATGCACTTGTCCTTTGTGATGGAGCGGTTGATGCTGCCTGGGGTAGTAGTAGAGAAGCATTGTGCTGATGTTGATGAAGTTCTACGGACAGGAATGAGTGGGTCTTCAGAAGAGGCTAAGGGGAATTCAGCCATCTTATCAATTCGTGGGGCATTCACAGAAACATCTGGGGACTCCAAGCTTCCCAAGGGACCTACATGGGCTCTATATGGGGTTTGCACAGCTGCAGCTCTAGTTGAGAATGGAAGAGAAGCTCTTCGTGTTGACTGGGAAGATTTTCTGGCTGGAGAATGTGACACCGGAAGCTGCAATCATAAGAATAAGGGTCAATTAATAAGCAACCTACACAATTCTTCCCCACAAAGTTGCCAAAAGTAATAAATAATCTCACTGAATTGTTAACCACTTCAGTATGAACTTACTGAATCACGTTTTGAGCTGACGTGAGAAATTTTCGACTGCGTAATCTGTCTCCTAGGATTAGCAGAAACTTTTGCTGGTGTCGATCTTGGAGTATTAACAACGGTGAACTTCGTCGCCACTGACTTTTTGATACCATAATCTTCATGGGCACTTCCAATAGATACTTCAGTGAACTTATGATTTAAACAACTTGGAAATTCCTGCACCCCCAGGCTAGAACATGGGGAGTCTTGTTCGGTTCCAGAAATACTAGGATTTAAGGTCCTGTCATTGCTGTATGAACGCCTTTTCTCTCTGAAAGTATGTACAGGAATAGCTTCTGGCTCCATGAATCTTGTTTTCGTTATATAACTGGACTGAGACCAGTCAACTGGGAAAGTATTCCGTCGAGGACTATTCAATTTTTGATGAATCTTAAGCACATAAGGTCGAAGATGGGGATGACCAAGCACCTCTGCAGCCTGACAAACCATGGATAAGTTTGTGAACAAATGCACAGAGATCGAATATTATTTCTATCAACATGCAGCAGCACCAAAAAAATTTGTAGTTGTACACAGGCCATGCCCACAATGGCAACATGGACTTGATTTTGGGCCTTAATCTAGGTTATAAACAAGTCTGTGTAACTCAACAAACATAAATTTATGTGACTTAGATGGAGTCAGACACATACTCAGACTTAATCATCAATGACCTGGTAATACACGCAGGCATTGATAAAAGAAAGTGTAGTAAAAAAAATTGATAAATAGAACTTACACTTGGTCTAAGTTCTGGGTTCTTCCGCAGCATGCTTTTAATAAGACCTCGACTGCAAAGGAAGAAAACAGAGAACATATCAGGGAAACACCTTTCATTGCATACATACAAATATTTGGGCAGCGTAAGCACCTTCCATTAATTTATCATATTTTAAAGAAATAAATAAATAAAAACCCACTAAATTTCCACTGGCATGTCTAAACCACATATATGAAATTACAATCACCAAAAACACTTGAGACCAAGGGCACATGAAGAGAGAAATAAACTCACAATGCACCAGAGTACAATGTTGGAAGCGGAGCCACTATTGACTTGTTTATTTTGTTAATCAGAGACTGTATATCCTGTAGTCAGAACAAATTTTATAAGTTATCTAGGAAAAAGTCAACTCCTCAAGCGTTATGATTGTTGTTAAATGCAGAAATGGGGCAAAGAGGTAATACATAATTCATACTAAATGAAAATCCGCAAACTTACAAAGGCTTTAAATGCAGGCCTGTGAGCAGCCATTTCATATATACAGCACCCTGGAATAAGCATTGTATTTAATGTGTACGTGGCTTAAAAGCCAAAAAAACAACAAAAAAGGACGGGCAGGTGGGGAGGGGGGAGATGAACATGCTGATTAAGTCAAGGAGATGCTAATGAAAGGGAAAACTTACCTAAAGACCAAATATCTGACTTAGAACCATACGGTATATCGGCAAGAAGCTCAGGGCACATATAACTCGGAGTTCCCACAACCTGTACACGGAGCAGAACATCTTGGTCATGCATAAGCCAGTGTGTAAAATTTAAAATTGCCTTTATCAGGTGAACCACTTACAGAGGAAGCTAGATCGTCAGAAGTTAACATTTTGGCGAGACCAAAATCACCTGCATGTATTATCATGTAACTATAAGAGACAATTTCCAACGACTAACTGAACAATGTGTAAACGAACTTGGAATGCCAATCAACATCAAGGATACAAAAAGAACAATAACTTACCTAGACGTATGTCTTGATCTTTTGTCAAAAATATATTTGAACACTGAAGCAAAGGAACACAGTTAGAGTAAATTCTGCAATTTCAAACATGTAGCTCTAAACAAATCTCTCCCTTAACTTGCCACTGACCTTTACATCACGGTGAAGAATATGGTTGGCATGCAAGTAATCAAGGGCCATCAAGAGTTGAACTAACCAAGTACAAAGTTTCTGTGCATTTCCAATTTTCAAGCAAGAAACATAAATTATCAGAGTTTGATTAAATATCTAGCACACAATTGTGAGATTTTATAAAACCAAGTGGAAAGTTCGCCGCAAAAATAAGAACCTCTTCTGGAAAATGAACACCATGGGCCTTTTTTACAGCTTCTGCCCTGTACAGCAACAGGCATTAACATGAAATGATCAGAAAAGCAGCAAAAACAAGGAAAATTCAAATAATTCCTACACTAGTTATGAAGGGATTTGACCAAGAAGCAAAACTCACATGTCTCCTCCTTCACAATACCCTATAACAATGCACACAAAGCAACCCTGAAACGAAGGCATTGAAGCATCAATTGCAGAACTGAAGAATTATAAAGAACATGAATTCCTAGTAACTCATGAGGGCATTAGAAACAAAAGTTATCATACTGACCCGTTCAACCCATGAATCTTTGTACTCCACAATAAATGGATTCTGTACCGTGGAAATAAGCTCCATCTGCATCACAACGAACCAAGACAGCTATTTAAAACCCAAATTGGTACATCCATCATTCAAGTATTACTCTACTCTTAGCATGTGCTCATGGATTTAGTTTTAAACCCAAAAAAGAAAAGAAAAACACTGACCTCCTGGTGAGCAGATCTGCGGGTTCTATCAGTTTGACGAGCAAGACGGATCTTCTTCAAGACATACCTATGCATGTATGTATGAATGAATAATCAACTTTATCTCTCAGACTCAAATGAATATTAAAATTGAAAGGGGACTCACTTCTTCTTTTCATGCTTATGCCTCACGAGAAGAGCAGAACCAAAAGAACCTTTCCCAATCTGCTCTAGAACTTCGTACTGCTCCATCTTACACTTGTATCACTCTCCCTCTTCAGTGTTTGTGAAAGACTTTCACTCCTAGAAAGAATTCAAAAACCATACAGCTCATGAAGGATGTTACAAACACATGCTCAAAAAACCATACAAGACTCAACCTTTATCACAAGCCTCAGAAAGGAAACACATGTACCAACAAGCATACAAACAAGCATGAGGTCCTAGGGAGTTAGTAATTAGTAAAAATCATGAAGCAGAATTTGATCAATAAGGTAGTGAATCCAACCAAATCAACCCAGTGAGTTTAAATAAGGAAATTAATATATGGTAAACCCTACCAAATCAACCCATTGAGCTTAATTAAGGATTGAATTAAATTCAAATATATTTTCAACTAAATCTAAATCCGAACACTCACTATTCAATATGAACATGTGCATGAATTTATGAGAAGTATGGGAGATAAAACCAACAAAGAGAATGAATGCATATCAGAAATTGTAGCAGAAAGTAAGAGCAAGAACAACATGAAATTTAAAAAAATGTACCAAGAATCAAGAACAAGCAAAACAGCTCCAAGGAAATCGAAGAACAAGTAAACTCCAGCTTGTTCTTTCTTGGTTTAAAACTTCAATTAGTTATAAAAACAGAAAACTAAACCTTTAAAACGTTAGAAAGAGTAATATACTTACTTAAAATATGAGGACAAAATTAGGAAATTCTGATAAAAGCTCTACACCTACTTCTCCTAATTTCTTAATTTCCTAATATTATCCATCCATCAGAGAGAGTGAGAGGGTGAGCGGCAAAAGAATTAAAAAGAAAGCAAGCTAAGAAGAATTCAAGTTCAAAATTTGCAGAGAGAGAGAGAGAGAGAGAGAGAGTTTGTTTTTGGATTGGAAAAGATTCTTGAGGAGGACTGAAAATCCAGAGGGGACCACACTGCACGGGCGAGGAAGGAATTGAAATTGGGAAAGAGCCAAAAAGGGCTCCACTTCTCTACGGTTTCATCAATTCATACTCATACGTACTTCAGTCTCCATCCCTGTCGTTCAAACAGACTTCCCTCTTTTGACCCAAAACAGAAACGGACTTTCCTGCCTTTTTCTTTACGCTTTTTTCTGAATTTCAAATTTGGCGGAGGCATGCTTGGTGTGCCTTTTTGTGCTTGGGCTATTGAGTTTCAAATTACAGAGCTAAGGGGCTTGGTGGGCTTTTTTGGAAACTGGAGTTGGTGAGTGGGCCTCATTTTTGTCCCCGTAGTTTTAATTTGTCAATTTTATCCATCTAATTTTAAATATCTCACAATTCAAGGACATGTTATAAATTCTGTCAAATTCCTTTCAATTCTGTCTAAAATACCTCTCTACGTCAATGACACGTGCTTACTTTGCACTAAATTTGACGAGAATATGTGTCCTTGAATTGTGAGGGATATCAAACTACATAGGTCAAATTGCCGGGAGACTTTGGAAAACACACAAAGGAGAGAGAAATTTTGTAAAAGAAGCCAAATAGACAAAATTGCCCTTATTTATTTTTGGATTTCCTAAGGAATCCTTTACATTTGCATGTCCTTGATTTGAAATTTAAGATGTTTTTCTGTCTTTTTTGAAAAAGCTTTTGTTTTTTCCAAAAGTGAAAAAAAAATTTGGCTAAAACCTAAATTTACTTTGAAATTATAAGGACAAAAATAAAAAAATCCGACAAATTATAAACATCAGAAGTGACATTTTGCCTTACTCTTATATATAAGGTGGTTTGGAAATGTCACCACCAACCAAACAATACATCTTTACTTGAGCAATTGTTGCTATGGAGATGCCAACTCAAGTGTCTAGGCCTGTGCAGAAAGCCCATTTATTGAACATTCCAACTACTTCCACCACATGAAGATGCCCATTTAACAACTCTCCACTAACCCCATATCTTTATTTTATTGACTGTATCAAGATCAATACAAACGTATACATGTGAATAATCAAATGGGCCAAAGAGGCTTCATTGGAAGATAAGAAACTCTGTTTTTGTTCGGTTTGATTTATTTCTTCTTGTTTATTTAGACCAGACAGAAACAGTCACTCGTCATGTCTGAGCGCATCCATTTTACAAGGCCAACTTGCAAGAGCCACACCATATAGACCAATATCAGGCATGGATGGAGACTTTCAATTGGATTTTGGAGACCCATCTCTGTCTAATCCATGATGCTTTTGTGAAGGTTGCCGTGCAGTGCAGCAATAAGTTTTTTAAGGTAGGGTCAATCTTCAAATGTTGCACAGATATATGAAATGGCTCTAAAAGTAGAGGTTAAGGGGGTGCTTATAATAGAATCAACGCCTGTCCACAAAGATCCATTAGCATATCTCCGAATCTGGACCACCCGCCCCACGTTTTGTGCACACTATATGTCGCTTAGGATGCTCTAACAGTCACAAGTATGGTGGGTTAGCTTAGCTAGCCTGAATCTCACGCACAACGAGTCACAAATGGTGTGTGTGTTTCCCTGGAAAAAAATTTTAATTTCAACTTTCAAAAGCATGTGAAGAGGAGTTTGGAGAATGACAAGAGATAGGCAGCAGAGTGGTAGTTTCTTTCACTTTAACTTTGCTACTATAAAAATATGTTTATCGATGGCATCGTTTTTCTTGCATATATCTTTCGTTCCTTTATTCTGTATGATTCTTCTTGATCCGATCTTGCACATTATCTTTTGTCTGCCTCCATGATATGTCAAGGGAATTATAACATTGTAACATTCAGCTCATGCTCTTGCTCATTTATTTCATGAGATATATTTATATCTATATATATATATATATAATAACATTCGGACGTCCGGATGAGAGAAAAACTAAATATATTCTGGATTCATTCTATATAGTTTACGTACTTTATACTCACATACGGTATAAATCACTTAATTTATTTTCTTTATAGAAAAAGTAATTGGATCAAGAAATATACACTTTTCAGAAAAGTAGCATGATATGTGGATGGGCCTAATATAGCTGAAAAGAGAATCTCTGATAAGGCCTTAGGTGTTTTGTAAGGAAAATGCATGGAGGAAGAGATGCTCATAATATAAGAAAAACTATTTGATAATTGATAGAGGACAGCATCGCTAGAGTGAGAACAACAAAGGAAAGGAAACCCATCTTCTTCAGAATATAAGTCCTTTTTTAGAAGTATATTCTGGGAGTGGACAACCTAACATTCATGAACAGGCATTAATTTGTTTTTTTCTCATCTAACAGAGCTTTCTACTTTCACTCTTCTTCTGTTTTATGATCTCCATGAAGTTGAAGAAATTAAGGACAGCATTAGAACCATTTCCTTGTCAACTTTTGCCAGTGGACTGTAGACTCTGCTTGCTCTTTGCTTTCTATAACATTGGGTAAGGCAATATTGGCAGCAAGTCTTCCACCCCAAGCATTTGAAATGGGGTTACCCCACCAAGGTAATATAAGTTCTCTGGGGTTGTTGGGGGGGGCCTATCCCCTTTGTTCCCACATACATGGCTAAAACAAACTAAGACAAAGGGTTCAATGTAAGGCACAAATACAATGCTCTTTGCAACATGCATTTACAATGATCTCAACAACCACATACCAAACAGAATACCTTTAACTATCAATAAACAATTGTGGTGCAAAGAAACAGTGCTCCCACATTTGAATGGTGGGGGGGGTCATGTTTCACATGTCCTGTTGCTCCTCAATTATATAGCATGGTGGTTTGTGGAAACAGTGCCTGTGTCTGCAGAACAGCAAGATTTGTACCATAATTCAGGTTGAAAATATTTTAGATATCTGTAGCCACCAATTCTGCTCCCTCTAAAGACATTATCATGCTCTCTTTTCTTTTATTGGAAACTCTCATTTATGGTGAGGCCACAAATTCTGATTGAAGTCAATCAATAATGCAGATTGAAGTCAATCGATAATGTACAGATAAAGATCAAATTAAGTCAAAGTATGTTCCTGCATTCATCAAAGCAAAATGAGTGATCCTAATGAAATATTAGTAAGTCTTATCAGTTGGGATTATTACTCAACAAATAAGGAAATAGTTGGTTTACTAGATGAATATGATTCATCACAATGTAGCACTTTATTTAACTCATCAGCTGGGGACACATGAACTTCAATTTTTCTGTATACACTTTCTTTGTCAATCTGCATTGGACAGGAGCAAACTGTTGCTTTTTGAGAAGGAGAAAATTTGCATGAACTTCCATTGTTGCCAAGACAGCTGCCCCATATCTACACATTTCAATCAACCAATCAAAGGCTTAGGTATATATAGCTTGCATAAATATATATATATATATATTATGGAACCCCTCAAGTTATTTTTAATTTGGTCACAACTCAAAACCTTTTTACACCAGTTAAACCTTGGAATTGTATTGATATAATCCTACAAGTTATGGGGGTTGATCTGCATATTTATATTGATTTTGGTTTTGTAAAGCAAAATACACCAGAGCCACAAAGTAGAAAAAGAAGACCTAGCTGGCTACCACAAAAACTCAAAGTAAGCAAGCAAGCTTTTTTTTTTCTTTCTTTTTTTTTTAGAACCTCGACGGCACGAGGAGAACTTTATTGATCAAAAGAAATATAGAGGGGCTTAATACCTGACCTGAGTACAAGCATCCACAATAAGTAAATCATAAATAACATCAGGTGGTTCTTCAAACCACTCAACCCTATCGCTATAGTACATATGGCTATTCTAGCAAGTCAAGCTTTTAAGAGAGGGAATGGCATTCTGGATTTTTTTTAGCCTCTTTGGAGGCAAACATCCACTATCTATGAAACAAACAACAATTATTACTTACTTTGGTGCTTAATTAGTTAGCATTAACTGGTACCTAATCCATATATATCCATATGGTAATTGAGCATTAATTTGCCTTCAATTATTGTGTCCCTTTACTGAAATCATGGATATTTGGCATGATTGTTCATTGCACCAATATAAATATTAGGATTTAATATTCATCACCAAAATTCATAAATTACTTCAGCATGGCATGATTAAGGTTAAGTGGGGTAAAAAAAACTATTATTAAATTCAAGCAACAAGAGCAGAAAGTTAATAAAAATAATTAATCTAATCGTAAGGTGCGCATGCAATGAAAATTAACCTAAACTTGTAGTTAGCACCTAAATTGGAATTAGAAAAAGACATATGCAGCAGACCGTAGTTGACAATTATGCATATTGAAAGCGAAAGAAATTATTAAAACCAATTAATTAAGGAAGGATTATAGAAATTTCCATATGGAGGCCATGGGTGAGGTTTTTGTCCAGGAAGGTTGTAACTTGAGCAGGGTTTTTCTGAGCAGAAGCTTTCTGATCAAGCAAATTAAACAAAAATTATTTTATGGAAGTGGGATCTTGGATTCGATTCCCAGCAATGACAAATAGAGTTTGAAAAAATAAATAATACTACTTAACAATTGAACTCGTCAGCAAAATGTCTACTCTAGAAATTTAATTAGCACATTTAGCATTATTTCTAATCTTCCTCTCGTTCCGTCGAGTTTCTAAAAAAAATTGCGGTCTTCAGTATTTATACATATCTCACTTATCACATATTCAAGATTATTGACAAGCCTTAACAACTTTCTTGCATAAATTTATTCAATAAATAACTAGGCACATTTCCCACGCGAAATGTTTATAATTTCTTGTTTTAGATCTATGTTTTATAATCTGGACTCTGCATTTAGTCTGTTGCAAATAAATATATGTTCAGAATGACTCCGAACTTTCAGGATTAATACCAGACATACGCATGTGTTAAACATGATTAGTAATTATAATTAGAAACCCCCTTAGATATATAAATTTGAATCTTGATGCCAAATATATAATGGCATGCAAAAACGTGATGAACAACCAGTGCGCATGCATAAATAAGTTCCTCTACGACCAGTTGGACTGGGCGGTCGAAATGTCAACGGCTATACATATATACATATAAATATATATTTCATATTTTACTATACATACAATATTGTGTATCAATATTTGGCTATTAGTTAATTTCTTTATTTTATATTTTAAATGACTCTCAAGAACGACCCATTTTGAGGAACTCAATCTGTTGCCCAAACTTAATTGATTTCCCCTGTATACCTACCTCAACCTCTTATGTGAGGTATTTTATCAAACATGTTGCCCCCACACTCAAACAATCAACATAAAATTACTAGGCAAGTTCATGGTGGAGAAAAGGCAGTGAGGGCAATGGCCTTCACTGGCCCTTGCTAGATTCGACAGTGGGTGCATGAGTGTAAAACCATTTGGGTGTAGAATTCAGTGTAGCTCATACATGTAAACGCAGAGAGACAAGCACACACCACATAACATAATTTTTTTTTTTTTTTTTTTTTTTTTTTTTTTTTTATGAGATTAATCTCGACGATATTAGGGAAGATATTATTAATCATCAATTGGAAAAAATGAAGGATTTGGCGCCTTATCCCGATTATTAATTAAAAAGTCCTTAATAATATTTGGTGATTCCTTAACCCACTCAATTTTAGAAAAAAATTATATAAAATTTCCAGTTGTTACTAAATCATTGATCTTTTGCTTGTTTTTTAAAAAAATGAATAAATAAATAACTCAACATTGACAAGCTAGTTTCAATATATTCCCATAAAGCTCAACAAATTATAAGCTATATATATACATATATTCCATTCAAGGGACATTTAAACCAAATCCTCTTTTAATTGTTTTTTATTTATTGGTTAAGCTTATCCTCTTCAATTATTCACACGAAATTATTGTATTGGAGACAGACAGGCTTATATTATTTTGAGACGAGAACAAAAGTCTTTAGATAACCTTAATTAGTTGTCCTACTACTTGTCTTATGGAGTATAAACCTCGCGGCATATATGCATAAACTTCTACTATCTCTTTTTTTTTTTTTTTTTTTTTTTTTTTTTTTTTTTAAAAAAAAGGGTGATAGTATATTATTGATGAACAAACAAAAGTACAAAGCAACTATGTGTCGAATATAGGTAAATATTCTCCAATGACTAAACACATATACTCAGACCTACAATACAAATTTGCAATGCAACGACAAAAAATGGTAAATCCGTATCTAAGAGCATCTCCAACCAATATGTCAAAAGTGTCACATATACATTTAACAGCTATAAATGACATTTCACATCACTCCAACCAAATTGTCAAAGCTGATGTGGAATGAAGGTTGGAGGTTTCTGTTACTTTTGACATCCCAAAAGCAAGATGTCAAATGAATGTTTTATTGTTTTTTTAAAGACAACTGGCTGTTACTTTCATTTATTATTTTTTTCTTTATCTTAAATGATTTGACTGTTACAAATTTTTTCCTTCTTTCTCTTTTCAATTTATTTTCTATCTTAAATGAACATTGAAATGTAATAAAATAATAATTTAATTTGACATATCATGTGGAGTAAAACTGTGTAATTGTCAAATTGCTACATGAGCCATCAAATTTAAATTTGATGTTTGGTACTTGACATCTCCTTTGAAGATGCTCTAAAGTATATATGGTCAAATTATCATGTTTTTATAAATACATGCTCATAATGATTATTATTATTATGGGATATCATTAACCTCATTCATTCCTAACCATCTCCTTAATAATTAATTAATTAGGTTGTGTATGAGTTTGTAACTCTCAGTACTCAAATGGGCTAGTTGCTTTTATTTTAGTGATCGGTTTCTAAATACAGAATATTATTCCATTCACGGGATTTTCTCGAATGAAGTGTCAGGATATGACATAAATACCCTCGGATTAAGGGACAACATACGAGTTAAAATGTTGACTTCGTAGATTGTTGTACAGTAATTGGTCATTTTCAAGACCAGAGGTTGAAAACTTGGATTGGTGAACAGTGCTGTGGCGTTTGTTCTTCCACATCAGCAGTGAGACGTCAAAATAGGCCGTGAAAAAGCAACAGTTGTTATGCATTACGTGGATAATCAGACCCTGAAGCGTGTTTCAAATTTGACCCGCTATTTTTGGTTGATTGATTACATTTGTGTGAAAGAGAAAAACCGACCTCTTTTTGGTCAAATTGGTAAAGTGGGTCCACACACTCAACAAATGAACATTAAACCCTCCTATTTTTGATACAAACGATAATTATTCTAAATTAATATAATTTACAAAAAAAGGGAATTCAAGTGAAGGGCATGCTCGTTAATATCATGACCAACTAGTCTAACTCACGTCTCTCATAAATTATTATAATTTTGTCATTAAGATGAGTCTTATTTTTGTAATACAAGAGGATTATTGGAAATGAGAAAATGGTAGTGTAACGTGACATATGCAATTACTTACAAAGCAAATTGAGATCAGACGTAAGCATAGCGGCAAAGGGTAATGATAAAGTAAGCATATTGACAATGATTTCCTCCTTCGGCCCAAACAAAAAACAAAAAGAGTATGATTTCCTCTGGTCGCCGACTTTGATTATTTGATTGATCTATACACAACGAATACCGCATATGAAAATGTGAAGCAAAAATGTTAGGCAGATTGATTTGAATTTGAAACTAACTATTTACAAATCCAATCAGACCTTCTGAACACGTCATGAAATTAAATCCACTTCATTCAATTTTTAGGAGTTGGGACCTAAATAATCAAAGAAAAACCTAAACTGATGCATGCTAATTACCAGCAAACTTGAACCGCCAAAAACTAATAAACTAACACGTGTTAAAGCCTAATCATGCCACGGTGGCAAGTATGAAGTTGTGCAGCCATGCATAATATATCTGCATCCTTTGAGAATTTTTAAAAAAATAAAATTATATCTATATAATATACGTGAGCTTCCTGGATTTTGCCTCCTCCTCATCGTGCAGGGGAGGAGAACACAACGCAAGTGAACAAATTAGAGCACGAGGTATACGATGCAGCTAACAAATTTGAAAACCCTGCTCTGACGTGTCCCTCTATGATCACTAATATTAGTGGGCCCCAACACGCACTCTCTTGATAAAAAAAAAATGAAAAATCCCACACAACACTATCACACCGTCCTCTCCACTTATATAAATTGCCATAAGCAATCACACACTTCTCTGAGTCTCAGCTGCTCTCTCTCTTCTTCCTCCTCCTTAATTTCTCACCCACCTCTCTCTCTCTCTCTCTTCTTCCTCCTCCTTAATATTTCTCACCCACCTCCTCCAAAACTCTCTCTCTCTTCTTCCTCCTCCTTAGCATTTCCAAATCGGTGCACAGCATCCCAACTTTTGCACCTCTTGTATTTCTAATTGTACCACCTTTTCCTAGCTAGCTAGCCTTTTTTTATTTTCTTTTCATGGGTACCGCTGATTATGTGTACCCTTCAACAAATGTGGAGCGTGAGTCTCGTCACCGAGTTGCAATCCCTCCACCACAACCCTTTGTCAAAACCCTGAAAAACTCTCTCAAAGAGACCTTCTTCCCCGATGACCCTTTGAGGCAGTTCAAGAACCAGCCGGCTTCAAGAAAACTTGTTCTTGGCCTTCAATACTTCTTTCCAATATTTGAATGGGGGCCTCGCTACACGCTTGACTTCTTGAAATCCGATCTCATCTCCGGCATCACCATCGCCAGCCTCTCAATCCCTCAGGGGATTAGCTATGCCAAGCTTGCAAACTTGCCACCAATTCTTGGCCTGTGTGAGTAGCACTTGTACAATTCTATAGTTTCTTCTTCTTCATTTCTTTTGTTTCGTTGTTCCCACTCTCAGTTTGTCATCGGCATTTATGCACCTGAAAATAAATTAATATAGGATACATGTTGCATGTGAGAGTTGGGTTGTGATCAGTTAATATAAACTTCGTGTTAATTATAAATAATATAAATATTTTTAATGCAGATTCAAGCTTTATTCCACCATTGGTTTATGCCATGATGGGGAGCTCAAGAGATTTGGCTGTGGGGACAGTGGCTGTGGCTTCACTTCTCATAGCTTCAATGCTGGGGGCTGAGGTCAATGCTATGGAGAACCCTACCCTTTATCTTCACCTGGCTTTCACAGCAACCTTCTTCGCTGGAGTTTTCCAAGCTTCCTTGGGCTTCTTGAGGTCAGTAGTTTTCTTATATTTTCCTACCATAAATATCTGTTATGGTAGGTTTAGTGCAGTAATTAGCTAATTAGACAACTTAATAGATTTATGTAGTGGGAACAATAAGACAAATTAGCTCAAATTGATATAGAAAAGGTAAACATTTTGTACTTGCTCTCTGGAATTTTCGTCTTTTAGCACAATTTAACTTTTTCCTGTTCAATAATTAGACTAATGAGATTCGATCGCTCACTGTTTTCAAGAATCTGCAGACACTGATTGATCCACAGCCAGCTTCACAGATTTGTAAATTTTTTTTTAATTAAAAAAAAAAACCACACTTGGATAATAAGGATACAAGGATATAAATTATATTTGATTTAAAGAGTGTTTTTTCCATTTTTTTATATTTTTAAAACTATTTTAATATACGAGAAGGAGGTTTGAACTTATCTTTAAAGCCGCGGACACACTTGTCTTTATTGACTGACCTACCCGCATTTGGTATTATTATGTGTTTTGCATGAACGAATATATACACATATGTATATGATTGATGGATTGGATTGCAGGCTGGGTTTTATCGTGGATTTTCTATCACATGCAACGATAGTAGGGTTCATGGCAGGGGCAGCCACGGTGGTGTGCCTGCAGCAGCTAAAAGGGATTCTTGGGCTTGACCATTTCACCAATGCCACAGACGTTGTGTCAGTTATGCGTTCTGTCTTCAGCCAAACACATGAGGTTGATTGTCTTGTCCCTTTCCTCCCATTTCTCGGCCACACAAAATTAATCAAACAGCTCTCTTTTTTTCCTTTTTTTTTGGGTCTGAATCATCAAAACAGCTCAATCCATCACAATTAATACATCAAAACTGCCTTTTCTTTATGTTTAATTTAAGTAATCAAGTCTTGTTTTGGGGAAAAAAATTATTATTGCATACATATGCAACCCCAAACGGTTGTTAATCACATGCATTATATGTTCACACACGTATATATGATCATGAAAAAATTTGACACGCGTTAGCGTCATGATATGAATATATCTTTTTAAATTAAAAGAAAAAGAAGAAAGTTGAGGGGTCATTTTCTAAAACCTAAAGTGTTTATTTTTTTTTACAAAGGCTATGGAAGAATTTAATCAAGCAAGAAAGTTTGAATATTATTTGGATAGAATTTTATTGCTTAAGTGGGTTTGAGTTTCATAATTCCTTCTAACAATGATTGATGGTTCTTGGTTGCAGTGGAGATGGGAAAGCGGAGTTTTGGGATGCGTATTTCTCTTATTTCTCCTCGTCACCAGATACTTTGTAAGTGAATATCGAACCCATATCTTTAATTTCCCTTGTTTATTATATTAATTTCAGATACTTGTTTCTTTAATCCATCAATCTGTCACGCAAGTATATGCCTGATGTGATGGCCCAGCAATTTAAAAATATAACAGAGAATTGGAAAGATGGTTTAATTCGATTGGATTAATAGGACCATCACTTAGATAATTTAATAGAAATAAAGTTCCAATTAGTCAAAAAAAGTTTCAAGAAACTACTTAGCATCCGACTTTGTAGACCCCTCTACTTTCCATGGGTTGGGACCAACCAACTTCCTTTTTTAAACTTCCCTTTTGCTAGATCAAAATTCTCGTTTCATTTTCAACTATAACCTACTCCCACTTCAAATTAAGTAACATAAACTCTCAAAGATTACATGCACCTCGTTAAAATAACGAGCAATGCTAGGCGTACCACATTTGCATACCACTTTGTGTACTATCTCTCTAATAGAGGTGGAGCCAAGCAATATAATAGAGTTCACTTCTATTAAAAAAGTGTACATAATATAGTATATAAATGTGGACTAGCATTTTTGTAAAATAATAGTAGGATTAATTAATAAAACTTAATTAATCCATGGCTGCCAATATATTAAGCATTGTTTTGACTATAGGCCTGGCCTCTCTGGTTTTGTTTATGTAAGAAAGATAGGTGAATTTTAAAATGCTAATGTGGCTGATACAGTTTCTTTGTCTTTATGTTGGGCAACATGGTTTTGCAGAGCAAGAAAAAACCCAGGTTCTTTTGGATATCAGCCATGGCACCTCTCACGTCAGTCATATTGGGAAGCGTTCTGGTTTATCTCACCCATGCTGAGAAACATGGCGTTCAAGTGGTGAGCACTCCTATTTTAGAACTCATTTATTTATTTCTCTCATTATGCAATTAGATTATCAAGTGACGAGAGAAATAGACGGAACAAAACGCTCAAGAGAAAAACACTAGTACCGGCTTTCCTATCATGTTACAATTGGTATACGTCGAAACCTACCATGTGTTACATATTTTAACTGGACGGTACTCAACACAACCATGACAAAATTAGAAAGAAAAAAAACGAGGAGTGTGTGATCACCAACCAGTGGCCTAGAGAGGAGAACGCAGTAGGAACAGATTGGACCACCATAAAAGTTACAAAAGCAGGTCCATCTCCCATGTGGTTAGAGAGGCCTTTGGCAAAAACTAGTCTTGGGCCACCCCATAAATATTTGTTTAAGCACTCTGTCTACATTATTGAGCCCCCACCAATAATAGAATTGGGTAGAAATTGTGTGGGCCCCTAAAGTTTGCTGTCTTTGTCCTCTCTCCCATGGCATCAGAGACACTTCTGGTTGATTGGTCATTGTCAATGCCTTTAACATTGAATTTATAAAAGCTTTTTGTATTTTGTATTTTATTTTTTACCCAACGACAAATTTTTCTAATTAATGCCTGAATTTTCTGGTGGATATATATATTTTCAGATAGGAAAGCTGAAGAAGGGGCTTAATCCAATGTCCTTTGGAGACCTCGTGTTTGTGTCTCCTTATCTGACAACAGCTTTCAAAACTGGCGTCATCACTGGAATCGTAGCTCTCGCCGTAAGTAATTAACATAATTCTTTAATTACTGATATAGATTAGGCCAATTGATCACGACAATAAACATGTTGTATTGCAACTAATTGCTATGTGCAGGAAGGAATAGCCGTAGGTAGAAGCTTTTCCATGTTCAAGAATTACCACATTGATGGGAACAAAGAAATGATTGCCATTGGGATGATGAACATTGCTGGTTCTTGCACTTCTTGCTACCTCACCACAGGTTTAATCACTCATCATACACATTAATACTAATTAAATTAAGGGGTTTAATCTTAATTAGATTCATTTCATGTTGCTAATTAAGCAAAATTTCTTCATCAATTTTCAGGGCCGTTTTCCAGATCAGCAGTTAACTTCAATGCAGGATGCAAGACGGCAATGTCAAACGTTGTTATGGCAATTGCGGTTATGTTCACATTGTTGTTCCTCACTCCTCTGTTCCATTACACTCCCCTGGTTGTGTTGTCTGCTATTATAATATCCGCCATGCTCGGCATCATAGACTATGAAGCCGCAATTCACCTCTGGAAGGTTGACAAGTTTGACTTTGTTATCTGCATGAGTGCCTATATCGGCGTCGTTTTTGGCAGCGTTGAAATTGGACTAGTCTTAGCGGTATGTATCATTATTGTGTGTGACGGTAGCACTATATCTTAACAACTTAAAATTATGCTTTATAATTTTTTTTTTTTTTTTTTTTTTTTTTGTGTAGGTTGCAATATCTGTGATCAGGGTGCTTTTGTTTGTGGCAAGGCCAAGAACTTTTGTTCAAGGAAACCTTTCGAATTCCATGGTTTACAGAAATGTTGAGCAGTATCCCAATGCAAGCAATGTTCCTGGAATTCTCATACTTGAGATTGATGCTCCCGTTTACTTTGCAAATACCAACTACTTAAGAGAAAGGTACTAATTAATTAAACCTGAACACACTCCTTGCATGTTATAATAAAATTTAAAAATAATAATTTGAAAGTTAACCCAAAGTCCTACTTGTTTTCAGGATTACAAGGTGGATAAATGATGAGGAAGATAGGATCAAATCTGCAGGGGAAAGTAGCTTACAATATGTGATATTGGATATGACTGGTAATTGAGGGAAACAAATAGATATATATATATATATATAAAGAAAATTAATGTGACAAATTAATTTGTTTTCTGGTTTAATTTGCAGCTGTTGGTAACATAGACACAAGTGGGATAAGCATGTTTGAAGAGGTCAAAAAGCTTGCTGACAGAAGGGGGCTCCAGGTACAAAAATCTGCAACAGTATCTTTCAATTTATCAAATATTTCCTTCCAAATTTTTATTTCATCTGTTTATATAACTCTATAATTTTGTTCCCATTTCTGTGTTTAGCTTGTACTGGCGAACCCGGGAAGCGAGGTGATGAAGAAGATGAACAAGTCAGAGTTGCTTGAGAACATAGGTCAAGAATGGATTTATCTCACAGTTGCAGACGCTGTTGCAGCATGCAACTTCATGCTTCACTCCACCAAGCCCAACCCCAGCAAAGATCAAGAACCAGCTGCATGGAACAACGTTTGATGGCTTTGGCTGGCTACAATGTGAATTTATGCATCAGAAAGCAATATCCACAAAATATGAAGACTCATTTGAATTAAGGAGAAATGAGTCTCATCATTTGTGTGTTAAGTTTGCTCAAGTCACAGTTGGAAGCATTAATTTTTTTCCACCTTCCAACATAATGTTATTTGGAGAATATTGTATATCACTACATAATGAAATTAAAAATATTGGAGATCAACAACCCTTGGAAGCTCAATTACAAGAAAACGCATGCTTTCTAGCCATTACAATATTCTTCTTAATTACTTCAAAAATCTAAATACAAGTGGGCAATTCTTTTATTTTTTATAAAATCGATAGTCTAAAACACTCTAAATTAATCTAAAGGCTACAAGTGGGCATGTTTCTGGTTGTTTCAATTATATTTTTGAATCATTTCTGAAGTTTGTGATGCATAGATTTGATTTCTAGGATATTAGGTCTTAATTGTTTATTTTGTTTTCTCTAAGGACAGGAATGTAGTAAATATAGAGAAACGAAAACTTTTACTCCTCCTTTGAAACCAAGAGAAGAAAAGAAATTGTTGCTTTCTCCAGTAAATATATGTACTTGAGAAACAATTTTGGACCATGTAGTTTCTGAACCTCTGCATTTTGAATTGAAATCACATGCACAGAATGCATTACTCTTTCCAGAAATAAAAAACAGAAGATCATATTTCAGATAGGCGCATGATGTGTTTAAGATATTTCATGTTATTTGTTATTAACAGTGGCTTTGAAAACAATATATATATATATACACACACATAAACACTTAGTGCCGATCTTGGTGTTCTGATTCCGAGAAGGCATATTCCACTTCTCTATCAATGCCCCTTTAAAAATTTAAAAATATATATATATGTATATATATATATATATATATTTATAAATATGTGTAGGGGTCTTTCTTGTTGAGAAGTCTTAGCTGGGCTGAATAGTTGAGAAGAGGTGAATATAGCCTTCAAGTCCCCTTTCCATTATCATGACTTGCTTATCATTGGTTGTTGGAGTAAAGGAGTTCATTACACTTGGGTTATGAGAAAGAAAAATAGATTTTGTGTAGTTGATTCTAACCATTGTAGGGACCACAAGTTCATGCGAGCCCGTGTGCACAATAGAATAGGATATCGGCAGTATAATTGTCGATTGGGTGATTTGGGCTAGGAGATCAATGGTTTAGACAAAACGACTAGCAAAATGGGAATATGAATTTGGGAATGTCATGGGTGGTAAAATGCATGGTATGGGACATGCAGATTTGCTTGCCATATTATATAAATTAACGGGTTGGGTAGAATTGAAGTTCATTTATGCATTGCATAATTTTATAAATCTCACTAATTACATAAGACATAGGACCTCTACTGAGCTTGTAGTGCTCACTCCTTATCAAATATGTTGCAGGTTTTGAATATGAGGTTTAATTTGTGACCTGGAAACAAGAAGAACGAGTTGTAGATAGTTTTGGACGTTTGTTGTAAAACTAAATTAATTAATTAAGAGTGTGTTTCTTTCCTGTTATTTTGCTTGAAAAATCACAATGTAAATTACTTTGGTTTAAATAAAGGTTTATGTTCAGTTTTCATGTTTCTTGTTATTTAAATTTTTAGTTTTAGTTTTTCTTTACCTTACACTTCCATAAGAAGGGAAAAAAAAATTGGGGTGTGACAAGCAAGTCCTAGGGAATACTCTGTTCTTCTTCCAGCAGCTCTTTAGATTTCTACTACATGGCTTAACATGAGAGGCTTGTGCTGTGGGAGCTAAGAATCCATAAGTTTAGCAAGAGAGAATGATTTGCTTGAGGAATGGATGATTATGACAGTGTATTGTGGAATGATTGGGTGGTGTTTTAGGAAAAGTATGGGAAGGGTTATGCTTGAGTCTGGTACTTCTTAACAGCTTGAGGATGGGCTTTCTATTGCTGGTGTGTTCTGTGTTTAAGGATTTAGATATTTGGATCAGCATGGTAAGGCTTAGTTTTGGGTGTTTCTGGAGGATGAGCTTGCCTCTGCTGACTTGGGTTACTTCTTAAAAATATGTACGTACTATTGTACGTTTGTTTTTTATTTTTATAAATATGTATTTTATCGAGTCTTCAAGACGTGTACGGAAAACGAAAGCATTATTGAAAAATACTAATGTAAGTGTATAATACGAGTATTAAGCGGAAAAATGCTAAATTCTTTATAGAGGTAGTAACTCTAGAAAAGTAAAAAATCAAAAGAGAACAATAGAGACTCAGGTAATGGCCTAATAGTAATGGATAATGCTCTAAACTACTCTTATCAATAAACGAAAATCAGGGAAAAAATATTGCCCCAAAAAGAAAAAAGAAAAAAAGATTCCAGTATAGCCGTGCGGCTATACCTCTGAAATACATTATATTTAAAGAGTACGTTATACCATTTAAATATAATATTTAAATAGTATAGCCGTTCGGCTATACTATTGTTTTTATTTTAAAAAAGCCCACAAATGGCTATACGAGCTTTACGTTTCCTTCCCTGCCTGGCTCGCTTCACTGAATCACTTCCCATCGAAGTCTTCAAGTTCAAGGCCAAAAAAGAGGTGGGCAATTCGCCATTTGAGCTCTCATGGCGCCTCCCAAGAAATCAACGAAAGCAAGAAAGATAGGAAATTGAAGAAAAACTTAAGCTTGTTGGTTCCAGTCGAGCCTAAAGCTGCAGACTCTGACTGGTGGGATAGTTTCTTCAACCCAAGGTTTTTCTTTTCACTAAGCTCAGTCTCCAATTACTCTGCTTCCTCCTTTTTAGTGGAATGCATTCAGATTACTTGTAGTTTTAACTAAATTATCTTTATATTTTGTTTATTTTGGAAAATCTATGATGCACCGACGTGTAGAAAAGGTGGTGGATTTTGTTCTGTAACGTTAAATTCCGTAATGATGTTCATAATTAGAGCACAAAACCTATCAACTGTGCTTTTGTTTAGTTAGGCTGTTGGAAAAATCGGCCTAGGCGCTAGGCGGCCGCCTAGGCGGGTCTAGGCGGCTCCATTTGTTTTCCCTGACTTTAGCTAAATTATGAACTCGCTTCAATTTCTGATGGCCGCTATAAGAAAACTGGGTTCTGATTATGTGTTTTGCATCCTGAAAAGGGAAAGATGTGGTCCAAAAGTTATTGCTAGAGGGAGCAATAGAGATTTTAGCCTGCAAATGAAGCATGTAATTGTTAGGAATCTGGTTTGGCCTACGTTGGATGAGTACTTGGAAATCCTGACTGAATCAGACTTGGGGAATATACTGATACAGAAACACATAGTCGGGCTTTGTTTGTTGTTATATGGAAGCAAGTTTTTCTGTCTTCCTATTTCCCTTTTTGTAGATTTTTTTTACTTTTTTCGAGTTGATTTCTGTTTTGAACTTTCCATGATAACTTAACTTTATTCTGTTTTGGTGATGTAATTCATCTGTGCAGATTCTTCACTATCCAATGATGAGGAGGAGGTTTTAAGTATCTCTTTAGGGTCTCTAAGAAGAATTTTGACCATATCTGTTCCCTTGTAAGAGAAGACCTTGTGTCGAGGCCGCCATCAGGTCTCATCAACGTAGAAGGAAGGCTTCTTAGTGTTGTGAGACAGGTTGCAATCGCCCTAAGAAGGTTGGCATCTGGTGAGTCTCAAGTATCAGTGGGAGCTGCCTTTGGGGTAGGCCAGCCCACAGTTTTTGAGGTGACTTGGAGAGTTATTGAAGCATTGGAAGAACGTGCCTTCTAACAACTTAAAACTACGCATTAGAACTAATATTTCTTTTTTCTTATGTGTAGGTTGCAATATCTGTGATCAGGGTACTTTTGTTTGTGGCAAGGCCAAGGACTTTTGTTCATGGAAACCTTCCGAATTCGATGGTTTACTTTACAGAAATGTTGAGCAATATCCCAACGCAAGCAATGTTCCTGGAATTCTCATACTTGAGATTGATGCTCCCATTTACTTTGCAAATACCAACTACTTAAGAGAATGGTACTAATTAATTAAACCTGAGTAAGAACTAAAGATTTGGGGCTTAAGATAGATAATAGCAAGTACAGGGACTAAGGTTTTGCTGAGTTGTTCTTGAGGTGGTTGTACTATCTCTTTGTTTTCTGGTCATGTTTATGTTCTCGTGAGCCAGAACTAAAGATTTGGGCCTTAAGATAAATAAGTGGCTTTATCTATGGGACTGGAAAAGAGACGTCCCACTTTGTTTGAGAAGGTTTGAATCAGACATTTGATTTTTATGATTATTGCACAAATTTTCATCTACAAATTGATTGAATAACTAGTGTAGTGCTTCAAGTTACCAGTTGCTTCTAACCAAGGTGCTTTCTGATAGTGCCACCATACTAGTTAAACATAGAGACCTCTGTGTGTCATTCATTTGATTCTAATAATTTCCAAGTGTTAAGTTGGTTAACTGGCCTAGCGTTTGAGCCATAAAGTACTGAAACCGTCTCATGATGAAAGAATTGATTGTGTTCTCATGATTATTTGTGATCATAGAAACTGCTTTCCAGAAATCCTTCAATCTTCTCTGATGTATTTGGTTTCACTTGTAGACACACAGGTTGGAGAGGACTTGATGAAGGCATCGTTGTAGTTGGGACTTGCATGATTTAAAAGCTACAATGGCTGGTTGCATGTCAACCACATCCAAAACAATTAAATCACGGAAAAAACACTGTCAGTGGGTCATCAAACGCCATAGCAAGGCAACCTGCTCCACTTCAGATGGTACCAAGAAAAGAAATACAGGTAATTTCCAAGTGTTCATTGTAAACATACAGGTATTTTTTTCAGAATTGATTTATATTGTTATGTTTTGTTTGTTATATTTTGGCAATATCTAATGATATTGCTCTGTGCCTTGTTTCAGTTGCCTACTTATCCTGCTGCAATGTTTCTTGGTGATAGTGATGGAGAGGGGATGAATCTTGTAATGTATTTCAAAAAGACATATCTCCTCAATTCCAGGACAGCATCAAGGTAACTTCATTTTGTATGCACCTTCATCCATTTGGATAGGCATGTACTTTATTCTGATGTACTCTCCCGGATGGAAATGTGATCTTATGTTCAATTAGAACACTCAATCTGTTGATATATTTGAATGATGCTTTTACAAAATGATTGACGATTAGACGGAAAAGGTTAATGGATTCGCAAAGGACTCCACTGTACCTTTTAGAGAAAGACTAAAGATCTTGGCTGGGATGGTAAATCCTAAGGATCTCAGTCGGAGTTCTGCTGAGAAGAAGCTTGTACATGCATATAATGGCAAACCAGTTCTTTCACACCCCCAGCACAATTTTTACAAGGTAAACATTGAACATTTATGTTGCTGAGTGAGATGATAAAACATAAAAACCATGTTGTTTGACTTTATCAAGCTCACTCACATGCAGGGTCCTAACTACTTTGAGATTGATCTGGGCATTCATCACTTCAAGTACATATCAAGGAAGGGTCTCGAATTGTTTTGAGAACGTCCAAAAAAAATGGAATAGCCGATCGGCTATACTATTAAAATATTTCTTTTAAAATATTCTGTTTATGGAGTATAACAACGCGGCTATACCTATAAAACATTCTTTTTTGGCTTAAATGTCAAAATGGTCCCTGTCTTTTTAGGCTACTATCCATTTCATTGTTCCTCATACCCCCACGATGGTTGCCATCTTGAAATTTATAAGCCTACCTTTTGTCAACATAAACACCACTCGGAGCTTCTCGAGGTTGATTTTTACATGTTGTTCTATTGTGGCCTCTCTCCCAACACTTTGTACATGTTTTAGTAACCCCCCTTCTTACCCAATTTGGTGGGATCCTTATTCTTTTCCATTTCAGAATCCTTTATTATTCTCCTTTTTTTAGGCCTCCCAGGTTGCTTCTTTACAATTGGTGGTAGGACAGGTGTTTGGTTAACTGTAGGCCAATACTTCATAGTCTTGACTGGTTGTATGACTGGAGAATAAGCTCTCAAATAAGCCTCTGGTGTGTAACATTTATCCACAAATTGTTCAGCTTCTTGCCTATTATGGAATATAGCATAAACTGCATGCATTCTGGGTATTCCATTGAGCTCCCACCTCCTGCAACTACAAGTTCTGGTCCACAAATTCACAGAATGTTGATCAACTAATGTGTCCCCCACTTGGAATAATCCATTGCCACAATACATTCGTCTGAATCTATGAGATAAAGTCTTGTTTTTCTCTAGCTTGCCTTGGATCTTTGGACAAATTGGACCCTCACATTTACTAATCAAGTCCCTCTTAACTTGTAACCTTCTCATTATTTTGCACCTAATCATCTCAAGCATGGTAAGTATTGGTTTATCCCTTGCAGCCAAAATCCAAGAATTAAAACACTCACACAAGTTGTTCAACAACATGTCACACTTAGTTCTATGACTAAATCTATGCCTAGCCCACATATTTGGATCCCTATTTTTCAACCAACCATAAGCTTCTTCATCTAAGCCTCTTAGTTTTTCCATCTCACAATTAAAATCTACTTCATTTGATGACATGGCTGCACTCCACAATTGATCTTTCAATGCCTGACCCTTAAATTTTTCCTTGAAATTTCCATATAGATGCCTCACACATCATCTATGAGACGCTTCAGGCACCACTAATTCAAAAGCTTTATCCAAATCCTAGGCATATAAAATCATTTTTTAAGAAGTCAAAAAAATATATTGGAGCAGCTTGTAATTGAAAGAAACAATATAAAGTAAAAACCAATTGCAATGAAAGCAATTACTTACCTTTTGTTGATTTGAAATGAAAGTCCAACCATATTCACTAACTGGACCAAGATCCTCAATTAAAAGTTGGAGAAACCAACACCAAGAGTCTTTACTCTCCAACTCAGCAACCGCATAAGCAATGGGGTACATATTATCATTTGCATCAATACCCACGGCTACAAGTAATTGCCCTACCATTATATTGAATTACTATGTAAAGAAATAAATATATATTATATATAGAAATATATATTAAATTAATATCACATCCACATAAGTTAATGTCAAATAAAAGTACTAAAAATATTTACCTTGAAATGTTCCCTTTAGGTGATAGGCGTCAACACCTATTAAGGTCTACAGCCTGCTATAAACCCCTTTTTGCATGCGTCCAAACATACATAAAGCCTTTGAAAATGAGGAGGATCCACCTTCATCAACATACTGCTGCCGTTATTAGTCTGTCTAATCTCTTCACAATACTCCCATAACTTTTCGTATTGTTAAGCATAAGTTCCCTCAATCAAAGTTTGAGCCTTCCTCTTAGCTTCATAACATTGATATGTAGAAACTTCATATCCCAATTCTCTATGAACCTCTGATTGAAGCTTTGTCTTTTTAATCTTAGGATCATCTTTAATCTTAGGATCATCTTTAATCCTACTCATATACCTTTGAGAAAGAAAAGTTGAAGTGATGTTTTTGTTACGGAAACCTTTGGAACATGAATGCTTAGGAGTATAGCTCTTAATTTGATAAGTGTTTTCTCCTTGCATCAAAGAAGCATACAACCTCCACTTACAACCTTCCTTGCACTTAGCAGACAACCTGAACTTATCATTTTTCACTACCTTTTATTCATATGACCTTAAAGCTCCATAAATTTGTATAGCCTATTTCAAGACCTTTTTACTTGAAAATTTCATCCCAACAATGAACTGTGGGTTGTCCATATCAGTATCAATATTAAACTCTTTGTACCTACGAGTAGTTCCTTCTTCATCAGAGTTTGATGCTGAATGTAACTCATATGAATTATATTGCTTTTCATCCATGTTCATATCCTCAACCTGTATATCTGCCTCCCAATTGTTTTTTTGTTTCTTGCCACATCCGATGAAAGTCTGTAGTGTATCCACTGCATGATCATAGAAATTATCATTGTCCAACATGGCATCATTGTCCTCATCATAAAATTCAGAATCGGAATTATTACCATCATTATCACTTTCCTCATAATTGGAACCTTTTGTTTTATCATCACCATCACCGTCATATTCATACTCAGTGGCGGATCTATGCACAGGGCAGGATGGGTGCCTGCCCATCCCAAAGTTTTTTTTAATTTTTAAAACCTACATATGTTATAAGGGCAGCCCAAAATTTAAAAAATAAAAGTTAACCCAATACACATGTTGCCCATCCAAGAGGAAGTGGTCCCATATCTTCTCTCGCTTCTCTTTGGCTACATCACATCAGCTTCTTTATCTCATCAATTCTATGGCAATTTGACGATAGCAACATCCACTTTCCCCTTTTATTTGTTGCATCTTCCTATTATCTTAGCTGGGCAGTGGACAACTTGGTAGTATATTTTCCTATACTTTATACAACAAAAAGTACTTTGTAATTCTCTAATTTTTCTATATCTTTAATTATATCTTTAATTTAAAATTGAGTATTCTAGGATTTATGTAGGGATTGATTTAAAATTTTGTGATTTTGTTGAAATTACTTGTGGTTTTTGTTTTTGTTGTTAAGTTTTTATTTATGTATAGATGTATTTGATGGTAAAACTCATTATGTCCCCCATGACTAAATGTATTTTTTTCTGCTTATTAATGAAATTCACTTGAACCGTCAAATTTAGTATGTAAGTTCTGCCCAGTTGACTTTCCCATCTTAGATCCACCACTGTTCATACTCATTAGTATGTATCGGTACATCATAAAAATCTTGAGGCTCACCATGATACAAAGCACTTCTCTTTTCTTGAAATAAGTGATCATTGCTGAGACTATATGAACCATACCTATTTTCATCAACTTGACTAAACAGGTCATCATGGATTTCATTAAATGATTCTCCATAATCTATATTAGCTTGTGACTTTGGTGGTTGGGTTAAGTCACCAATAACCTCATGAACATCACTATCATGCTCTACATAGACAGTCATTTGCCTATTCCTAGGTATTGAGCTCACAAAACCTAAAATGTGTTCATCTTTCTCCAATGCATAAAGACCATTTGCTGGTCCATGGCCTGGAAGTGTGTAATAAAAATATTTGGAGTTTTGAACACCCAACTCTTGTATCATGTCTTTAATTTCTAATGTAGACAACCTATCAACATCTACATTATCAAAATAAGTCACCATACCATTTATATAATGGGTTCTTGGAGTGTGCACAAAATGTCCACCGTATCTAAATTCAGTAGTCATGTGATCATTATCTGCACAACAAAAGTAATAGACTTTTATTAATAAAGAATTTTTTTATCTGCACAGCATATGGTTTGAGATTGGTACTCTTATTGAGATTGGTCTTTTTTTCTTTGGTTAAAGAGATTTCCATTAAAGCAAAGCAGCAAAACAAACAAGCAGCAGAACAAGAAACCAAGAAAGGGAAAATATAGTTAACAAGCGTGATATGTGTACCAACAACGAGTCACTGAAGGAAAACAAGCATAGGGTCCAAACTCGAGAATACTCACCTGGGTTGATTGAGCCTCTATCAGATTCGATTCGTCTCCTTGCCATCTTTATTTGAACTCAAGTGAAGTGATTGATATTCAAGGGAACTGATTGAATTTGAAACCCCAATTAACGCAGACTACGGCAATTGTCATTGGCGCCAAGGAATAGAGTCGCGAGGGTTTTGGTTTGTGTTAAAATACCTTTATGCCCACTCACGTGCTATGCACATGTCTATTTTAACGTATATTTGACAGATTGTCCTACATTGTCTAACAGATGTAAACACAGGGACTAAATTAGCCAAATTAAAAACACATGGACTAAATTAGCCGAATAAGTAAAACACAGGGACTATTTTGACATTTAAGCCTTCTTTTTATGGAGTATAGCCGTGCGGCGATACTCTTAAATATTCTATTTATATTGTATAGTCGCACGGCTATACTGTTGAAATATTCTTTTTATAGAGTATAGCCGTTCGGCGATACTATCTTTTAAAATATTCTGTTTATGGCTTATAGCCGGACGGCTAAACGTTAAATATTCTATTTATTAAAAATAAATAAAATAAATAAAATAAAATAAGGCTATACAAGCTTTTACCTTCCCTCGCTCCCTGGCTCGCTTCACTTCCCATCGAAGTCTTCATGTTCAAGGCCAAAAAATAGGTGGGCAATTCCTCATTTGAGCTTCCATGGCGCCTCCCAAGAAATCAAAGAAGAGCAAGAAAGATAGGAAATTGAAGAAAAACTTAAGTTTGGTTCCAGTCGAGCCAAAAGCAGCAGATTCTGACTGGTGGGATAGTTTCTGGCAGAAGAATTCTTCAACCCAAGGTTTTTCTTTTCACTAAGCTCAGTCTTCAATTACTCTGCTTTTTAGTGGAATGCATTCACATTACTTGTAGTTTTAGCTAAATTATCTTTAAATTTTGTTTATTTTGCAAAATCCATGATGCACAGACAAAATTCGGTAATGATATTAGAGCTCAAAACCTATAAACTGTGCTTCTGTTCAATTAGCTAAATTATGAAATCGCTTCAGTTTCTGATGGCCGCTGTACGAAAACTGGCTTTTGATTATGTCTTTTGCATCCTGAAAAGAGAAATATGTGGTCGAAAAGTTATTGCTAGAGGGAGCAATATACATTTTAGCCTGTAAAAGTAGTATGTAATTGTTAGGAATCTGGTTTGGCCTAAGTTGGATGAGTAGTTGGAAATCCTGACTGAATCAGACTTGGGGAATACACAGACACAGAAACACATAGTCGGGCTTTGCTTCTTGTTATATGGAAGCAAGTTTTTCTGTCTTCCTGTTTGCCTTTTTTGTAGATTTTTTTTAAAGTTGATTTCTGTTTTGAACTTTCCATGATAACTTAACTTTGTTCTGTTTGGGTTATGTAATTCATCTGTGCAGATTCTTCACTATCCAATGATGAAGAGGAAGGTTTTAAGTATTTCTTTAGGGTCTCTAAGAAGACTTTTGACTATATCTGTTCCCTTGTAAGAGAAGACCTTGTGTCGAGGCCGCCATCAGGTCTCATCAACATAGAAGGAAGGCTTCTTAGTGTTGAGAAACAGGTTGCAATCGCCCTGAGAAGATTGGCATCCGGTGAGTCTCAAGTCTCAGTGGGAGCTGCCTTTGGGGTAGGCCAGTCCACAGTTTCTCAGGTGACTTGGAGATTCATTGAAGCATTGGAAGAACGTGCCAAGCACCATCTCAAGTGGCCTGATTCCAACAGAATGGAAGAAATAAAGTCCAAACTTGAAGAAGCCTTCGGATTGCCCAATTGTTGTGGAGCCATAGATGGTACACACATCATTATGACCCTTCCTACCGTTCAAACATCAGACGATTGGTGTGACCTGGAGGACAACTACAGCATGCTCTTGCAGGGAATTGTTGACCATGAGATGAGGTTTCTTGACATTGTAACTGGTTGGCCTGGGGGCATGACGGTGTCTAGACTTTTAAAGTGTTCAGGATTTTTCAAGCTCTGTGAAGGTGGACAGCGTTTGAATGAAAATGTTAGAACTTTATCTGGAGGAGTAGAGATTAGAGAATACTTAGTTGGTGGGGTTGGCTATCCTCTTCTTCCCTGGCTCATAACTCCTTATGAAAGCAATGGCCTCCCAGCTTCCATTTCCGCTTTCAATGCCGTGCATGGGGCTGCAAGGTCACTTGCAGTAACGGCATTCTCGCAGTTAAAGGGCACTTGGAGAATCCTTAACAAGGTCATGTGGAGACCCGATAAGCGGAAACTTCCAAGCATCATCTTGGTATGTTGTTTACTTCACAACATAAAATTGACAGTGGAGATATATTACAACCAGATGTTGCTTTATCTGGTCATCATGACTCGGGATATGGCGAACAATGCTGTAGGCAAGTTGATCTGTTGGGGAGGACTATGAGGGATATCCTAGTGAAACACTTGCTGCACAGCAAGCAGACCGCTGCACCAAAGTGATTCTTGTTCTGCCAGTCTGGTTTAAATGAGTTGGAAGTTTGGAACGGTTTCAATGTGTAAAATTATTTGCTTCGGCAATTTCACCAGCACAAGCCATATACGACATGAAATGCTGAATTGCTTCTCTTATTCGCATTGACTTGCATAAAAGAAATGTATGTACGTTTTTGACAAACTATGTGAATCAGCCATCTTTGTATGGCGGCTTAGAAAGTAGAATGGAAGTTCATTTTGTCAAAGTCTTACTAGAACTTGTAACACCAAAGAAGTTTAAAGCCAAAAATATACCACATAAATAAAACATTTTTATTTTGAAGTTGTGGCATACAACTCGCTACTAACAAAAAGTAAGACAAGCAGCAATATATATGAAAAAGAAAAATAATATGAAAAAAAGAAAAGCAAACACCATCTGAGTGGGTTTCCTTTGATTAGAAGATGGGGCCTGTCATGTACAGCAGGATCTCAAAACTAAGCAAGACCCAATACTCCTCTCTATAAAATATGGCAAAACAAGTAGAGCTCTCTAAAAAAAAAACTTATGGACAATGAGACAAAACTAATGCCTCATCATTACTTTAAAACTATACCATGGGACCATGAAATTCCATTGCTTCAATCTCCCTTGGTTGGGGGCTGTATGCATGCACAGAAGGGCGCTTTCTTGCGTTTCTGGTTAGTTCTATTGCCACCATAGATATAGTCCCTCAGAAGAACTCTTGTTTTCCGCTCCGTGATCCTTGTTGATCCTCTGCTTTCTTTTTCACCATCAAGTTTCAGTAGAAGAAATTGCAGTTTCTGCACCTCCAACTGTAGCCGCCCGATTTTTTCAGACCCTCTTTTTGCTTGCTCTGAAAGTCTCCTCCTCCTCACACTCCCACCTTCATCCGACACTACACCCGAAGCTCCATCAGAGAACTGAGGACCATCTTCAACGTTCTTCATCAATTTTTGATTGACATCAAACAACTTAGTGATGGCCTCGTCAGCTTCTTCCAGCTGCCCCTTCACGTTTTCAAATTCAATACCTTTGCCCTTTTTGCTCTTTTCAGTAATCTCCACCTTCCTCTTCAAGTCTTCCACAGTTATTTGAAGGTTTGTCAACTTTTGTACATCAGAATCAAGTCTTTCTAGAATCCTTCTCTTGTTGCCTTCTTGATGGGGCTCTGTAAATCTCTTAGAGAGCTCTAATTTGTCCACGCCCAATTCCTTCTCAACCAATGATTCTGAAGAGGAATATTTATTCTTGTGTGCCTTTACTGCTTCAGTCTGACTCTGGTCAGTTGCTACAGCGTCCACCTTCTGGCCCTTGCCAACCATCAAATCAATGCTGGCATCCTGGTCAGTGGTTTCCCACAACTCAAGCATCTGACCATCAGCCTCTATGGTGTCTCTTCTGCTTATCCCATAGGATGAACACTCTGATATCTGATCAAGAATGATGTCTTTTGTCAGAATTTCATTTCCTGAACCAGATATTTCACGCTTCTTCATAGTGTTACCAACCCCATCCCCGAATTTCTTTTCTACCTGATTTGCGGAAAAATGCCTTTCCTTTTCCACCATTGCCTTTTCAATAGCTTTAATTCTTCTTTGTAAATCCTGCAAGTCTGAAACACCATCTGATACCGTGGCCACTTGATCTCCATCCAAATGAGAGCTTTCAGCATGCAGAAAGTCATCCTGGATACAAGTGGAATATAGATGTGTCAAATTCAAATGATATCCAAAATCACATGCACCATTGAACTATTGAAATCAAATTCAACATGCCATAAGCTGAACAATTCATGTCCAGCCCAATGTAGATAGAAACCAGCTTACTTTCCATAAAATTTCCCAAAATTGAAGTACCATTTTTTTTGTTAATATATATGAAATTTGAGGCCTCAAAAGTAAAATAAAAGGAAGTTCAAAAGAGAATCCTGGAGCCACAAACAACTTGCATAATTCTGATGATAAACCATATATTCAAATACTAGCTCCGCAATTCATCTGATATAAAAAGCAAGTCTTTCAAAAGACTTTCTGGCTAGAAGACCATACACGATGGCCTTGAAGCAAAGAACATAATTGCATTAGTGAGAACTCATGGGTGCACGTCTAGATGATTTTTGAAGAGTTCATGCAGGTTCAAAAGAGGACAGAAAATGTGCAGAACCAATCAAAAACTGCTAACCCATTATGGATAAGGAAATAATTGGAGTAAAGCTTTAAGTTCCAGATAGAAAAAAAGAAGAGAGTATTGACGCTTTAATAAATGGATCATCACCTCAGTCTTGGGACAATTGAAACTTCCAATTTCCCATTGAAGAGGGAATGTATAAACAGACATGGAGATTACCTCTGATTTTTCTGTGTCTAGTTTATGAGATGTGGCGTCTGCAAGCACATGCTTCTCAAGTGCTGTTGTACTCTCCTCCAAAGAGATGACAGCTGGAATATAGGCAGCCAACTGAGCTTGTAGCCCTCCATTTTCGTATTCCAGAGTGCTGATTCTTTCTTTCATAGTTTTGCTCTCCATACCTCTGGAATTGCTTCTGTCTTCAAGGATCTGACATGCTTCAATGAGCTCGCGGATCTTTCCTTCAAACAATGTTTCACGAATGGTGGAGATCTGCAGTTCACCAAAAAACGTGGCAGCCTGAGTCAACCACATTTCTACCTCTTCTCTTCCCTTTTGCAGTTCATTGATCAAACCTTCCTCTTTAATTTTAGTTTTTTCAGCTTCTTCATGCATTTTCTGCAGTTCTGACTCCAACTCTTGATTCGCTTCACGAAGGCATCCAGTCTCTTTGGCATGATGATCATTGTCTGCATATAGTTGGACAATCTGCTTCTCTTGATCTTCTAGTACCACCTTAGCCTCATCATACTTACCATTCAGATCTTCCACTAATGTATGCAACTCTTTCTTTTCACTCTGAAGTGCATTGAAGATCTGCTCTGCTTCCAGAAGCTCATTTTCTTTATGAGACAACGCATCCTTTGCATTTGCAATTTCACCATTCAATTGATCATTGACAGATTTAACTACTTCCAGCTCATTCTCTGACCTAATTAATGACTCCTTCAGATGTAAGCTTTCCATTCGTATAACTCCCAACTTCCCCTCCAATATTCTTACCTTATCTTCCAAGTCATTATTACCAAGATGAAGTTTATCCAAATAGTCACCGAGCTCTTCTAGTTCCAGTAGCTTTCTGGAAATAAAATCCTTGAAAACAAGGGAAAGGTTACTGTGATATATTGTTTCACCAAACATGACACATTTCTCCTCTTCTAGGTTATGCTTCTCTTCCCCCAAATCCAATACCATTTTTGTCAAAGCTCCTTTATCTTCAAGTATCTTGGAATTCTCTTCCAATAGACTCTTGTATGCACTTTGCAAGTCCAAGAACTGCTCATGCAGATTATCTATTTCGGTCCTCAATACTTCCTCTCTGTGATCACCCTCCACTACTTTCAATTTCAATTCTTCATTCATCTCCTGAAGTCCTTGAGCCCCACTCTGCAACACCAAGAACTTCTCAGATTGGATCCTGAACTTTCCATCCAGGGTGTTTCTTTCTCTCGTAAGATTTCCCGCATCGAGTTTCAGTTGGTCAAGCATTTCTATGAGAACTGACTTCTCAATAACCAACTGCTGATTTTCATCACGAATAACAGAGAGAGAATTTTGCGTGTCCTGAAGTTTGACAAGTATATGGTTAAGAAGCATTTCGTCTTGCTCAACCTTTTCTCCATACCCAAGGTTTGCATCAACGTCAACAGCCTTCAACACCTGATACAGTCCCATTCTCAGTACTTCCGTTTGCAAAAGGAGAGATTTAATCTCCGTCTGTTGTTCAAGATTTCCATGCTCTAGGTCAGAAATCAGTTTCTTTGACATTCTGGATGCCTCCAAGAGATTCTGACGCTCAAACATGAGAGACAAGTTCTTTTCTTCCACATCTTCTACACATTTTTGCAAGACAAAGATTTCAATCTCCGCATTCACAGCTTTGTCTTGTTCCTCTTCGTATTCTTTCTTCCTGCACATACCTTCTGCTTGGAGCTGAGAGATCTGTGATTCCATACCAGCCATCTGGGTTTCACTCAACTGAACAAAACTGACATGTTTTTGCTTCTCAGAACCTAAGCAAACATGTAACTCTTCCACTTTATGAAGTGCTGATTCTCTTTCCTTCTCCAGAACAGAGAGTTTCTCTTCTATTTCTGCATATCCTTTTTCCAGATCTTCCAGTCTTTGCCTAGTAGTGTCCAACTCAGAAGCTAAGCTTTCTCTCTCAGTCATCAGACCAGACTTCTCGTTATCAAGCAATAGGCATGACTCTTCTAAACTCTTTGATTTAACCCTCCAGCCTTCAAGTTCAGCATTTGCATCACAAAGGGAATTCTCCAAAAAGTTATTCTTCTCTGATGATTTCTTCAAATTCTCAGTCATAATCTGTAATTGGGAAATTAGGGCGGCATTTTCAGCAAGAAGAGTGCTTTTTTCTTCCAGAAGAGACTGACATGATTCTTCTAACTCCTTTACCTTCCCTCTAACCCCATCTAACTCAACGTTCAAATCAGAAAGGGAATTCTCCAAAAGAACATTTTTCTCCAGAAGTTTCTGCATGATTTCTAACTTTTCTAACAGGGCCACTTTCGCACTTCTATCAGCCTCACACATCTGTTTTAGCTGTAGTTTTTCATCCTGTAATTCCTTCACAGATGACCCAAGGCACTCTGGATCCAAGCCAACTGACTCTACCTGCTCTAGCATTGCTTGGTGTTTCTTGTTCAGGTCATTGAGTTCCTCTTTCAGACAGTATATCTCTTGCTGAAGAGCATTTCTTTGGTCCACTCGAATTTCAACTTCCTCTTCAAGTTTCCTAACTGTCTCCCTCAAGATTAAGATTTCATCTTGTAGATTTTTTATTGACATTGATGAAGACAAATTGAGCTCACTTAGGCTCTTGTTTTCCTCCTTCACCTTCTGGACTTCATCCACCAAACCCTGATTACGAGTCTCCATGTCCTTAAGAATTAAAGCTCCATTCTGAAGCTCAGAAACCAGAGATCTAAGTTCCTCCTGGGATTGAGAATGCAAATGTTGCAGCGTTTGGAAAGCAGTTTCAGCCTCCATGAATCGCAAACGCTCTTCTTGTATGCAAGTCCAGAGTCTACCTAACTCCTTCTGCTTCTCTGTAAGCTCTTCACCTTGAGATTCCATTTTCTGCACCAAAGACTCCAACTCAGACTGGAGAGTCTGATTTGATTTTTCCAGCAGAAGACACTTCTCTTCAGAACCCTTTAACTTCGCAACTCCGTCATCTATTTCAGAGTGTAGCCGTTGGGCCTCTTCTTGGGCACAAGAGAGCTTATGCTCCAGACTAGATATGGTTTCCAAGCACTGGTCGTACTGGAGAGCAGCAGCTTCCTTTTCTTCATTTAATGTGGCAATTGCTTGCTTCAAAGTTTCAACTTCATGTTCAGCTTTGACAGCTCGCTCGTTAATCCTTCTGGCATCCTCCTCAACATGAAGTATTTTATCCTCCAGATTTGATATCATCTCCAGACATTGTTTATATTGTGCAAGTGCAGCTTCTTTCTCATCTGCCACCCTTGTAAGATCGTGCTTTAGAGCTCCAGCTTCAGTTTCGGCTTTACTGGCTCGATCATTGAGCTCTCCAGCATCCTTTTGGGCACAAGAGATACTGTTCTCCAGACTGGAGATTTTGTCCAAACATTGCTGATACTGAAGAAGACTAGCATCCCTTTCGGCCTCTAACTTGGTAAGTGCTTCCTTCGAAGTTTGAACTTCAGCTTCAGCTTTGCTGGCTCGTTCACTCAGTCCCCTGGAATCCTCATGTGCACGAGAGACTTCAGACTCCAAAATACTTAATCTCTCTAAACACTGTTGGTATTGAAGTAAGCCAGCTTCCTTTTCGGCTTCTAACTTAGCAAGGGCATTCTTTAAGTTTGAAATTTCTGTCTCTGCTTTACCCAGTTGATCAGACTCAGACAAGGATCGAGCCTTGAGGTCATGGATTCCGTTGTTATGCATGCGGTGTTCCCTTTCTTCAGTGTCATGAAAATTGAGGCCCTTCTTCGCCCTTCCTTCTCCAGACCCAAATAGATCATTTAGCTGTTTCAAGCCCTTTCTGCTTGGTGCAGAGTCAGATTCTTCTGTAAATGCTCCATTCCTTTTGACAGCATGGAAATGGGATGAGAGCCCCAGAGCATCTTTTTGCAATTCCTCAAGATCTAATAATGCCCGTATAGGGGGTGGCATCTCAGGTGTACGGGGATCAGCCTCACTAGCAGAGGAACCTGCAGGAGACTCGTCTCCAAGTGCAAGGGGAACTTGGTTGGGAAATGCTTCTGCCATGGTCCGATGAGCCTGGCGGAGTGCCCCAGTTGCATGATCATATCTTTCAGCTAATGCACGGTATGCTCGGTAGAACTCTTCCACCAATTTCATTAATTCTGGGCGTTTTTTATAATACATCTCTGCCCTCCTAGCAAAGGAATCTGCATCTTCTTCAATTAGCTTGATCATGTGTTTGACTTTGGCATCCATATCTGTTCAAGAAGTTGAAACATAATAAATTATACACATTTATACGTATAAGACGGGGAGAGAGAGAGAGAGAGAGAACAATATTGCACTAGATGAAACTGTCAAGTATTATGATTATCTTCTCAACACATCAGGATAACATTTGACAAGGCCAGTATGATCACACTGATATCGTTGAGCCATCAACAACAGAAACTGAAAATCCCCCGGCTTATATACAATTCTAAACTACTAACTACCTTAGACACCAAGTTCTCACTAACTTGGATGAGATGCACAGTGGTTGAGAAGGGGTTAGATGCATCTTAACCATCCAACAATCCATGTTTAATCTAACAGTTAAGAAAAAGAGAATTCTTTATAAATTTTTTCTTGACAGAAAGAAGTAAAATCATGTCAGAATATGCAAGGTGGTTTACATGATCAAAAATTTATGATGTCTGACGAGGGAGTTTTACTTTACTCCACATACATGAGAAACACATGAAACACAATTGCATATCAAACCAGTTATATATATACCTGTAAGATTTTCCTGAAGCCATCTTGAATTCTTCGGGCTTATGTGGCTGTCCCACCACCAAGAATACTTACGTCTGGAGTCTGCTTGTGACGCAGTCGCCATAACTCTGGCCAATAACAGCACCACCTTCGAAACTGATGCGGTAATAGTCCGATCCACAAACCAACAACAACCAAACCGAATTCAGTAATTCTTGGTAGGATGAAGCTTAGAGTACCTCTGGCTGCTCACACAGTCACACCTAATCACCAAAATCCACAATATGGTATCAGATGAATTAGAACTACATGGTAGGCGGTGAGATCAGATTCTTAAAAAAATAAAAATAAAATTGTAGGAAAATTAGAAAAAACAAGCAAGTACCTGATCAATAAAACTCAAGTCCAGAATCATATGCTCAAATTGACTGATATCAACTAAGTTTCTACAAACTACCTGATCAAGGACACACCCAAAAGCAGAATGATCAGACTTTGGTCAAAAAAATAACAAATTCACAAGCTTCAGAGAATTACAAATCCACACGTCTTTTTCAATCAGCGTTGAAGCAAAAACTTCAGTGATCATGCATGACACAGCTCACAGAGGATTAAGACAAACTGATCAAGTAAACATTAACACAATTTCCATGAAGCAGAAAGATTTTAATTGCCTAGAACCCAAAAAAATGAAAAATAAAAACAAATAAAGTCATGGGACAAGGAGAAAAAAAAAAAAAAAAAAAAAAAAAAAAAAAACAAACAAATTGCTCCATGAAGATATACAGAATGGGACCGATTTTCTGAATAGAATGAGTGAAAAATACAGGCAAAATGATCAAACAAACTTACCCAGAAGAAATTGAAACTATTTCTCTCTCTCTCTCCTTGTTCCTTATTTTGCGTTTTGATTGATGAGCAGCAGTGACAAAGCAACGTGAGCTGCTTTTGCTTTACTCTTTCTCACCCCATGTTTGTTAGATCGGTCAGTCTCCGTCTCAAAATGAATCTCTCTGTTTCTCTCACTGTGTTTGCTTTGCCTTTATGTCGTGGTTTGGTATTGGTACTGTTTCAGCTTTTTCTTATGCAAACTGTCAAAGATGAAACAAAATATATATATAATAATAAAGAAAAAAAAAGTGGGTGGAAAAGACCTAAAAGAAAAAACAGTGACTTAAAACCAAACGTTAATTGAAATTAATGCATTTTAATCCTTTATTTTTCAGATTTTATTTCCATTTTCGGTTTTTGGTGTGATTTTGGAAAATCAGAGCATTCCAGTTCTTTTCCTGAGATTAAACCCACTGATTCTCCAGGAAAACATCCGAAATTACAATCCTACCCATGTGGTTAGGATATCAAAAATGATTTTCCTTGGGTTTGCAGATGTTTTACTCTGTTTTTGTGCATGTTTTTAAGATGGTGTTACCAAAATTACCATAAGGTTCTAAATATTTATTCTATCATACATGACATGTCTTAGATATGACTATGACACCAATTGAGCATTAAAAAATGTAGATCCAGACAAAAATGCTTTTGGATGTGACAATGCCTATCTGCCTATGTGATATATTATACGCAATGTAGAATATAATTTTTAGACCAAAACTAAGCTATCCCAATTAAAATGAGTAATGTTTTTTTTCTCTTCTGGTAAAGTGATATTTCAAACTATTCTAATGTACGAAAAGGAGTTGAACTTGGATACAAGAAAACGGACACATTGCCTTAACTAACTAGCATAATCTACATTTGCGAATTTCCTTAACAATTCACATTTGACCAAATTTCCTTTACTAGGAGTCTAGGAGAGTAGAAGCTCTAGTACAATTAAATTAACCAGAAATTAACAAAATTAATAGTTATCCATAACAATGAATCAAATGGTGGGTGTAAATTCAAATTACAAAATCGGATTCCTTATAATAAGATCAGATATCCTTGATTCTCCCTTCAATATTTGACCAGAAATAAAATTATACCTTAAATAAATTCATAGCCGTTGGTTGGTTTTTTTTTGTTGGTAAAATACCCGTTCATTTATTTAATGGTGTCTAAAGCAAAAATTTGGTAATTTGGAGCAGCACCTTATTATTGCAATTAGCATTAAAATGTAAGGGCTTTATGGTAAATAGCATGCAAAGCATACGACAATCTTTGACACTTGGCAGAAATGACACGGTGTCAATCACTAAAAGGTGGGCGGTGGGCAAGGACGGTTGGCATTCGTCACGCGACTAGGAAAATTCTCCATCCAAATTGGACCACGTGTATTTCCTGAAGATGCATACCCCACATTTCATTCCTTTTAAGTAATTTATTACGTATGAAATAAATCAATTTAGAATAGAAAAAATTAACCGATTATCGCTTGAGAATGCTTTTGTTTTCAGTTTCTAATTTAAAAGGAGTGAGAAATAGAGAGAATGTAAAATGAAATTTTCGTAGAGTCGGTTATTTTGAAAATAAAATTAACTAAGAATTAGAAATAATTTTTTTTATACAAGCGATATTTTATTGACGAAAAGAATATTCGAACTCTGGTGCAGAATAAGAAACACATTCGCTCTTAGACAATATTATATAAAGATAATATTGAGAAAGAGATAGAAAGTGACATGATGTTGAATGCAAGACATCATATAAAGATAATATTGACTCTTTAAATCCATTAATTTTATCTGAACTCTTCAAAGGTGACTGTTTGGATTAAAGATTAACTATTAGTTTTTTTTATTTTTTATATGAAAGAAAAGTTTAGGGGGAGATTGACCACTCTCACCACTAGAGTCAGGGTAGACTTACAACCTCGAGCTAGAAGGACTTGCGTGTAGTACCCAACTGCTAGCTGCCTCAAGTATGGATTTATGTATGATAGTGAGACTCGAACACTAATGAGGCTATACACAATATAGAAACCTTGCCAACTGAACAAATAGAATATTTAAAAAAAGAAATAGGATGCAAGTCATTTTCAAAGAGGGGAATGCTTAGAAACATTGAAGATGTGAAATGATTAACAAATAATTGACCCACTTTATGTTTCAATTGGTTCTATAAATATATGGACCTTATTATAAAACAGCAATGCTCCGATTCTATAGCTATCAAAATAATAAATTAATTAATTAATTAAAGATTTTATATTTGTTGTTCCTAGAACAATATGTCAAACAGAGTAAATCGAGAAATTAACTGTTTGTTTTGCCTGTAAAATGATTGAAATTCAATTTGTCATGGGGCAATTGATTTGTGTAAAAAATATATGAAATCTGAAGAAAATAAAAAAGAAACAAAAAAGGTAAACGTGGTTTAATCATAACACCAGTAAAGGAAACCTGAAAAAAGGTTTGTCCACCCATCAATAGTTATAATTGATATGCATATGCCTCCATAAGCAGTGATGTACTGTTCCTCAACCTTTTCCCTTTTTCCTTTGCTGATCTCATGTCAACTAATTGTGAGAATAATAAAAATGTTTTTTTTAATTAAAAATAAAAAACATAGATAATCCAACTCTCCATGTAAGTGACGATAAAATGATTTACCACTGTAAACTCTGAGAATAAATCTTAAAATAGAGATTAACGGTTGAGGTAAATATGATTATGCAAATTGTTACCTTATGAATCTATATTAGGTTTTTATCATCTTCATTTGATAGCAATTAGTCCAATTCCATTTTCAATAAGAATTGGATCGCGCCACCTCAGTGCTTGTTTCATGACAAACGTCAGTCAATCATCCACATATAATAAATTGAAACAGAATAACCCCTATAATTTTTTATTGATTTATTCCTTCATCATCTTCTATTGCTGTTAGTTGATTTTAATTTCAAAGTCTACATAAGCGGGAAGTGATATTGTTTAGACTCTTACATGCTGAAAGAGACATTTTGAAGATGAATTATTGAAGAAGAATTAATAGGTTTGTTGACACACATGTGATGTAGTCGATGATTATAATAACATTATTCAGAAAAAGGTGTCCAAATTAGCAGCCCCTCAAGTAAGGCCACAACAAGCTCGCAGGCTTTGACCGTTAGATAACAATACTAATTAGGAAGGATTTTGTCAAGAATGAAGGTTTAATTTGATGTAAGACAGCAGAGGAGAGAGAGAGAGAGAGAGAGAGAGAGAGAGAGGTGAGGTGTCTTCTAAGTTTAGGGTCACCCTGTACGCTTCTAGTGTGGCTGAGCCTGAGTCTCATCTTGCAAGTTAAACCACGGGGAAATTTAATATTATATATATTGCTTTGCTTTTCTTGTGAGCAATTGATGACTTGAAAACAAGTCACCGAGCCACATGTGACATGCCTCTGAAATAAATTAGTTTGAATCTGCAATTTCAGATTGCAATGAGATCACATTTGTCACTAGCAATTGAATCACTGGAAACCAAACACTACAAGTTAGACCGAATATGGTGTTCGACATGTCATTAGTCATGTGTCGATATTATTATCGCTAACAGAACGCGACATATCTTTAATAATATGTCGATATTATATTATCCCTACCAAAACGTACCGATATTTGGTTGGAACTTATAGCGGAGTGTGTAGCATCACCAAACCTATATGCAAAATTTGTCAGCCACCAAAAAGGCAACCCTACACACACCAACCTCCATAACTTAGGATGTCCTCCTTTCACTTTAACATCAGATTAAGATAGAACAGTAAAACATGAAATGAAAGAAGAAAGTTATGAAGTGGGCCCTCGAGCAAAGTGGACTGTAGATCTATTTGTGGATGGATTGGTTTAGGCATCATAGATTCCAAACAGCTTTTTATCATATAATTTGCCATCATGCTGTTAGGTGAAAGCGTGGACAAGTGTGAGGGAGAGCCAAGTGGCCCACTTCCTCCATCAGAGCTTCATGATGCATGTGCTGCCGTGCTGGTTTTAAAAACTCTCCGTCTTAATCACACCAACAGCTTTGATACATGACAGATTTGCCATGCCCATGACAAATAATAATAATAGCTAGCTAGGTTGTTGCCTTGCCCCTTGGCGTCTTGGGAGAAAAGCCATTCCATGCATTTTGTCATTTCTTCGTAAACCTTTGTTATTTTGTTCAACATACAATTACACCAAAAAAGTTTAAATGACCCACT